GTGCAGGTGTACAGGTGCGGGCCGGAGTGTGCAGGTGTGTACACATATGTGTAGGTGTGCAGGTGTGTGCTGGTACATGCTGGTGTGTGCCGGTGCGGGCCGGAGTGTGCAGGTGTGTGCACGTATGTGCAGGTGTGCAGGTGTGTGCACAAACATGCAGGTGTGTGCTGGTACATGCTGGTATGTGCAGGTGTGCAGGTGCGGGCCGGAGTGTACAGGTGTGCGCACACGCGTGCAGGTGTGCAGGTGTGGGCCGGAGTGTGCAGGTATGTGCATGTGCTTGCAGGTGTGCAGGTGCGGGCCGGAGTGTGCTGGTGCAGCGCGGCCTGTAGATTTGGGAAGAGCTGTACACCTGACTCTTTACTTATGCTTCCCACCTCAGGGCTCTGCCTTTGGGGTAAGGAGTTGGGCCTCTGCTCCAGGAAGCACCTCTTGAAACGTGTGGCACAGATGGTTCACACGATTATACTTCCACAGATTATCCTTTCCTAGTGTTTTGCAAGTCCAGGCAAAATTCTAAGGAAAGCTTCAGCAATGGATAGGGTCTGCAGAAACCAGGGAGGGTTTTGAGTGTCGGGTGCCTGCCCCTCGGAGGGCAGGAGGAGGAGAGCATGGGAAGGGAGGGTGTGGGCACGGGCCACAGAGGTGAAGGGACCCCTCCCGGCAAGTCCGCGGAGGTGTTCGGGGACTGTCTAGGAGCCGCCGCACTCCTGAGTGTGTGTAAGGTGCCGGCCCGTCTCCCGCGGCCGAGGAGGGTGGGTCTGCTAGCAGCCGCTCTAGCTGATCTTCCCAGTGAACATTGGACTTGAGGGCATAGAATCTTGAAGGCATAGAACATTCCCTGCTCGTCCGTGATTCACACGTCCCAGGAAGCAAGGAGCCCCCTGGGTACCCGCACTCACGGTTTCTCCCTGTCTCTTTCTCTCCCCAGTCGTGCCAAGCTGACCTGGTGAAGGACAACGGTCACAAATATTTCCTGTCGGTCTTGGCAGACCCTTACATGCCAGTAAGACGACCCTCACTTCTCCCTCAACAGTGTCCAGAGCCATGCTGTTTGTTTCCGCGCGTGTCTCGCTCTGGGGTTCCGTGGCAAGGGGCTCCCTGCGGGCGGAGGGCCATGTCGGGGTGTGGGCGGGTGGGCGGCCTTTGCCTAAGAGCCGCGGGTTTCAGAGCGGTTCCTTTCTGCGTCTGAGCAGGTCGGTTTGGCTGTTCATGTTTGTCTCCCTGGCACGTCTGTGCAGCAGAGACTCCCTTCCCGCTCACATCCTGTCGACGGAATGAGATTAATGAGCACTTTCATGTCTCTCTGACAGCTCACAGGCCTAGGGAAGGTTCTGGAACATGACAAGTTGCCAGTGTGCCTTATGAATCAGGAAGGGAGGGCGGGAAAGACGAGAGTGAGCGTTTAAGTTTCAAATTATGTTATTTTATTAAAATGCTTCAGCAACAGTCATCTCTGAACGGATTCACAGCGAGTGCTGCAGATGCGTCCTAACGAACCCCCAGCGTCCCTCCCTGCAGCTCCTAGTGTGGCAGAGAGAACAAAACAGACGTCCTGAGTCGGTCCTTGATAAAACTCGGTTTTGCTGGCATATTTAAAGCGTCAAAGTTCATTTTCACAGCCGTGGCATTCTAAGCTATGCTGGTTACCGAAGAAAAACCAGAAGACGTTAAAGACAGGATTGTTGCGTAACAGGCAAGGGGCACCGCGTGTTTGAGCTGAAGCCTGGCGACGGAGCTCCATCCTGGGAGCGGAAGCTCACCCTTGCGAGGCTGGGAGACAGTCGCTTCCCCGCCGTCCGGATGAGCACGTGCACAGGCAGCGGATGGCAGAGCCCCCCGTGCTGCCGATCGTGGCTCAGTGGCAGGCCCGGCCGGCACAGGTGGGCCCCACTTCGGCTGCAAACACACTGACGTTTTGAGCCCATAGTGAAATTCAAAAGAGAAGAGTGCCAGATGCCAAAAACTGAAGCCAGAAGTCTGAGGAGAGCCACAGTGGGAAGGGAGTGCTGACCCCGGGGTCTCCTGCCCTGCAGACCCGACTCTGTGCCAGGGTGGGGCCTGAGTGCACCACTAACCCCGCGGAAAGCCAGGAGCCTGCAAGGCGTGCCCCGCTCCACGCACAGGAGGGGCTCAGAAACACGGTTCCCAGGGCTCCCCATCCAGGCGGACACACCAGCCCGGACCCCCAGGGGCCTGGAAGCAAAGGCAAAACCCCCGCTGGGTGCGTGCAGAGCCTCGAGCCTGAGAGCCTCGGCCGCAGGCGGTCGAACCAGGGAAGTAGAGCCAGCGGAGTCGGCAAATAGGAAATCAGCCCCCGAGAACCAAAGTAATAGAGTTGTCTGAGAAGACCTGCAAAACCCATATAAGTGTGTGTAAGACGATTAAATGAAAGAATTCAGTTACGTCCAAAATGCACCATCGTGTAGTTCCTCAGAACTACTTTTGTCCCTTTTAGAAGAAAACAATCTGTTCTTTCCTTTTTACTCATCCTCAAAAATGACCAACTAGAGGGGCGCCGGGGGGGGCTGAGCCGTTAAGCCTCTGCCTTCAGCTCAGGTCGTGACCCCAGGGTCCTGGGATCGAGCCCCGCATCGGGCTCTCTGCTCGCAGGAGCCTGCTTCCCCCTCTACCCCTCCCCCTGCTTGTGTGCCTTCTCTTGCTGTGTCTCTCTGTCAAATGAATAAATAAAATCTTAAAAAAGAAAAAATGACCAAGTAGATTCTCTCGGTAAACAGGCAGATCTGGGGGGAGCCTGCAGTGGAAGCCGTCGTCTCTGCCATTCAAAGCTCCGCAGTGAAGCAAACGGCAGGCGGCCCGTGGGCGAGGGAACCCGTGCAGACGCCACCCAGAGCGGAGCAAACAGCAGGCGGGAAGGGGCTCTGAGGCCTGCGGGGCGGGGGTCCCACTGCTTCCAGCCCCAGCGTGCCCTCGGGACAGTGGGGAGCAGCGGGATGTGCCGCGCCCACGGCCGACGATTCTCCCAGTACGAAGAAAGGAACGCGTTTTCGGTTGTAAAAAGCGCCGTGAACCTTGTGACGGGCGAACACGAGCAAGTCCACGCAAAGACGCGTCCTGACCAGGTCGCACATCTCCAAGCAAGAGAGTCAGAAGAAACCAGCACGAGGGGCCTTTGCACAGCAGCGGGCCGCTTCAGCCGGCGGTAACGGACCGTCACCCTGGGACCCTCTGCCGCCTCTCACCGTGTTCAGGTCACGTGGTCAGAGGCTCAGAGCCCGCCGCATGGGGACCCCCAGCGCAGACCCGTGTGAAGATGGTGCCACGGGACGCAGCAGCGCAAGACTGAGGAACTGGTGAACCTGTTGGCACCTCGGAGTGCGCACCGGCTGCGGACATGGACGGCGGTCCTCATGGACCTGAGGGGTTAAGGCGGAGGGAGAAGGCTGGGATCAGCCCTGTAGTGGCCTCGACGCATCCGAGGGCGAGAGCAAGAAGGATCCGTGTCAGGCTCCGCTCAGGGTGCGCATGAAAAACATGAGGCCCCACAGCACCACTGGGATAGGCTGACTGGCTCCCCTTCAGGAGGGCCACAGGCCCACAGAGGGAAGGGCAGCGTGAAGACCGGCCCACGCGACAGTGTGAAGACAGGCCGCGAGAGAGAGCTGGGAACTGAGTTAGGAGGGGGATCCACGCGTTCCCCACCGGCGTGTGCGGCGAGGGCAGCGTGCGGCACGGCTGGGGCGAGGGGGCACGGGGGGCGGTCGGGCGCTTCCCACCGGCGGGACGGCCCTCTGCCCACGCGGGGCCACGGCGGACACGCCTGTCCTGCCGCATTCACACCTTGGGGGACAACCTGCACTCAGAGCTCCAAGTCCGAAGCCGCCGGCCCCTCTTCACCGGCTCCTCTCGTCTGTAGACCCCGGTGCGCAGGAGACCGACCCGCGCGAGTGGGCCCCGGGCTCCTCACGGAGTTCGGAAGGAGAGCTCTGCCGTGCTCGGGGAAGGATGGGTTTCCGCCTCGGGCGAGAGCGAAACCAGGCTGCCTTCTGTCTTCTAGGCCGAACACCGGACCATGACAGCCTTCATCCTCGCCGTGATCGTCAACAGCTACAACACGGGGCAGGTAAGTGCCGTAGCTGCCCGCCCCCCAGGGCCTCCTGGCCCCGCCACCCTGTTCCCCGTCCGTGTTCTCCCTCAGAAGGGGGCGCCGGCGGGGAGCCTGCGTGTAGCCGCCACACGCAGGTACGCTGCAATGGGCGGCACCTGGAAGGAGGAAAACTGATCTAAGCTGCCATGTGGGCATTTCCCTGAGCAACGGCGCCGCGACCCCCGCTGGCGCCCCCCACTACCCTGGGTCAGGGGTGACCGCTGGCTGCCGTCTGCCTTCCCGCAGGAAGCCTGCCTCCAGGGAAACTTGATCGCCATCTGCCTGGAGCAGCTCAACGACCCCCACCCCCTGCTGCGCCAGTGGGTGGCCATCTGCCTGGGCCGCATCTGGCAGAACTTTGACTCGGCCAGGTGGTGCGGCGTGAGGGACAGCGCACACGAGAAGCTCTGCAGCCTCCTCTCGGACCCCATCCCTGAGGTGAGCCGCCGGCGTGTCCCGGCCAGCGGAGGCCGCCTCTTGGTGGGGGGAGGGGGCGACCTGGGGGTGCCGAGAGACTATGCCGCCATGCGGCCAGGACCCCGCGTCCCTCGCTCCCTGACGGCTCTCTCGGTGCCCGTTGGTGCTCTGCCGCCTCCCCGTGCCCTGCTGCCCCATCGGGACAGGTGACCCACGCGGGGGCGCAACCCCACCGCCCACTGCGGCCTGACCGCTGCCCGGCCCGTCTTGCAGGTGCGCTGTGCGGCCGTCTTCGCCCTTGGCACATTCGTGGGTAACTCTGCAGAGAGGACTGACCACTCAACCACCATCGACCACAACGTGGCCATGATGCTGGCCCAGCTGATCAACGACGGAAGCCCCGTGGTCCGCAAGGTGCGTGGCCCCCAGGTCGCAGGCGGCAGCAGAGTGCCCTGCGGCCGGTCTCCTGTGGCGCCCGGGGGTCTGAGCCGGCGACCCTGACCGCCGCCGCGAGCCCTCGTCTCCCACTGGCGCGCACCCTTGACAGAGCAGACCTTTAAATGTGTGTTTAATTCTCTGCAAAATGCGTTTCTTCACCAGATACTCGTGTGTTTGCTTCATTTAAAGGCATTTAACAGGGCTGCGTCTCCAGCAGCTTGTAGACTAGGCTCCTTCCCGCCCGGGAGCAGCACACACCCCCCCGGAGACTCAAAAGAGCGGTAGACGCGCACAGCCCGCCGGCAAGGTTTGTGTGGCGTGCTCCCCTCCCCGCCCCCGTGTTCGTCCGCGGCTGAGCGGAGCGATCCTCACGTTGGGAACTCGTAACCGTCTGCAGTGTGGGAATACCACGGCTTCCCGGCCAAGACCTCACACCTCCGTCCAGAGTTGGCCCGGCCTCAGCTAGGCGCCCCCCACCCCAGGCGGCAGCGCCACTGGGACCCGCGCGGTTCGCTGGTGACCTTGGAAGGCTGCCCGTGCCTCCGAGGCGGTTCTCCCGTGGGGGGCTTGTGTTCACACGGCGCTGCGCACGGGCCGGCCCGAGACCCCCGCATGGGGCCGAGGGAGGCTGCCTGTGGCCTGGGGCCGTTGGTCCCTTTGGACCCCCCTGGTTCTCCTGGGAGGGACGGAGTCCGGGCAAGTTCTCCTCAGCCAGACTCGACACATGGGAGGACTCAGTCTCTCCCTCGTGTTCCCTTCAGGGGGCGATGAGGCCGTTGCTCATGTGCCCGACGGCCCAGCACCGCAGCAGGACTGCGACACAAGACCCCGGTGTCGAGCCTGTTTCACTGGCCCGCGCGTTCTTGCTGACAGCTCCTCTCCTGCAGGCCCGCCAGCAACGTGCCTCTACTCGGAGCCACTGGTCGGGCCAGCACATAGCAGTTTCTTTAATTGTCCATTAAAATCCCTTTTAAAGAAGGAAAGTTTTTTTCCTTCTTTCCAGAAAATCTTAAAAATAACAAAGAACGTTAATAAAAATGGCAAGACTGTCCCTCTCGGTTTCCGGTGTTGGGACAGTGGCCACCGAAGTCACAGGGATGTCTAAGTGCCTTCGTGCAGCCCCTGGCATCCCAGTCCTGGCTGGACGCCACCCGCTGTCCCAGGTATAGTCAGGCCTCTCCTGAGGGCACATCGCTGTTTGCCTTGCCTGTTGGCTGCACGTCTGAGCCCGTCCCACTGACGTGCCCCATCTGGAGGCAGAGGACGGCTCTCCTTCCCACGTGCTCCTCCATCCTGGGCTCGGCATGCGAGCTCTTAGCATCCCAGGCCCTGGAGCGCAGAGTAGAAGATGAGCCTGCCTTCAAGGGGCAGACGCGGAAACCGGCGGCGGTGCTAGAGCGTCCACAAACATGCAGGACCTCAGCAGTGGGCGCAGAGCTCTCAGGAACAGGTCAGAGTGGCACCTACCCTGCTTCGCTGGGGACGTGGGGTCACGAAGTCTTCCACAGATGGGAGCTCGTCCCTGAGCAGCCAGGAGCCGGGGAGGTGAGGGCCAGGGAGAGCGGGTAGGGCAGGCAGAGTATGTGCAAAGGTCCAGAGGTGTGAAGTCCCGTGGCGGACCCGGGCTACCTGCCGTTCAAGTGCTGTGGCAGCGAGCAGCAGGAGGGGCGGTGCGGGGGGGCGGTGCGTGGATGAGGGGGATGAGGGGGAGGGCTCATCGCCACCGGCCCCTGTGCGTGGGGGGCGCGCCTGCCAAAGTACTTCATTCTTCCAGCAAACACTTGAGTGTCGTGCTCCAGGTCCTTGGGGAGGCCTTGGGACCCTGCCCTGCTTTCAGCAAGTTTGTGCTCTAACGGGGTACAGACAGCCCCCAGCAGACATATTACATAAGTCAACAAAGCCATGTTTGCTATGGGAACGTGGGGGCTTTGGGGACGGAGGGCAGCACTCGGTGCCATCTGAGCGGGGTGGGCAGGCGAGGCTTAGCGGGGGAAGTGGCACCCGTTCAGAGAGCGGCCCTTCCCTGGCTGCAGAACCCCAACGCCGCTGGCACTGTGTTTTCTCCTTGTCCAGAGCCACGTGGCGGGACTGGCGTGGTGCGTGGCACTCTGAGGGAGCTCGGGCTCAGCCTGCTGGTCCAGGAGACCATGCTGCGGGGCCCCGGTCAGGGTCGTGGACTGCGACCTGCAGCTCGGGCCCTGGTCACGTGGGCAGCCAGCCGCTGCTGTGTCCAACTTGCGGTGCGAGAGAAGCAGGGATGGGGGGGCTTCCATCAAGTCATGTGTACTCGGTATGGACGAGACGACATGTTTGTCAGAGCGTATGTTGCCTCCCCACTGAGTGCTGTGGATGCCTCCCGGCCGTGCCGGGTAAAATCAGCATCAAAACAACCACCCCAGCCTCCCAGATGCCCCCAGGTGGGAACCGGTCTCTGAAGGACAAAGTACAGCCTGCCCGGTCCACCGGTGCCCCCACCTCCTCAGAAGGGCCAGGCGGGGGTGCCAGTCTGTCCCCGTCCAGCCCCATGTCCGCATCTACCTCCTTCACCAGCACATCTGAGCCCAAGCGAGACTGGCGAGACACGTCAGCGCCCCAGGACCCAGGTCCCTGGTGGAGACGAGGGGGGAAGCTGCCCCGACACGGCTCCGTCTTGCCGCAGTTACAACGTGACCGCAGGCCACCAGGTGTCAGCCAGTCATGTTCTGCTGGAAACATGCAGCGGGATGGCCCTCGGGGGAGGAAGCAAGGAGGTGGCAGCCAGCACACAGGCGGCAGGGAGGACCCTAGGAAGATGTGTGGCCCCACCTTCCAGGCAACCACACGAGCATGCACTCCCCGCGGGGCAGTGCAGGTGCCCAGGAATGCGGCCCCTGAGTCCTGGGACGCTCCGTGAAGCGGACCCGTGCTGGAGATTAGAAGGTGTTTGAAGGGAGAGGTTTTGTCCGTTTGGTGCGCACTCATCCGGCGCCTGCGTGCCGGGCCCCGGGTTGCCAGGCTGCCTGATACCCAGCTGGGAACTGAACCTCGGTCCCCTCCCAAGAGCTTGCACTTGGAGGTGGGGCAAGCTGGAGACTGAACAGACCTGTGTGTGACGTGGCAGGGGGTGACCACCCTCTGCGGGAGGCGAACCGGAGGAAGGCAGAGTGTGTCTGTGGGGGGGCCTGGACGAACTCAGGGCACTCAGGGAGGTGTCTGAGCGAAGGCCTGACGGAAACACGGGGTGCGCTGGGGAGGCCTTTCCGGGCCGAGGGGACAGCAGGGGTGGGGTGGTGGCCCTTTCAAGAGTCCATGCAAGGTCGAGGATGGTGGGCATGAGGGGCGGCCGGGACCCAGGTGGGCAAGGCCTTGTTTTCTTCTGCGTGTGAGCAGAAGGCAGGAGGTTGGGAAGAAGGTGGGACTGACCCTGCCCTGTGAGGCTGACAGGTGCTGCTGGCCAGAGGGGCTGGGCCACATGTCTTGGGGGGCTGGACCGTGTGTCTCAGGGGTGCTGGGGGCGCTGGGCCACGTGTCTTGGGGTACTGGGGGCTGGGCCACATGTGGGGGTGCTAGGGGGCTGGGTCACATCTCTCAGGGGTGCCGGTCCACGTGTCTCGGGGGTCCCGGGTACCCATGTTGAACCTCTTCCGGAAGAGGCCTCCGGAAGCCTGTGCATCCTTGCCAGAACTAGCCCCACATCTACGTTTTGTGGTCAGACGCGTACCAAGAGCCCATCGCCAGCTGTGGCAACCTGTAGTGGCCGCCACCCCAACAGGATGTGCTTGGCCCAGAGCCACCGGGCGTGGGCAGTGATCTCAGTGTTTGACCTTTGATGGCGTTCCCTGCACCAGAGTGTCCAGGACCCGGGTGCGAGTTCATGGTCCAGGGCCCAGCACGGGTTTTCCGTGCCTCGCATCACGGTGATGGGGAGAGTCGGTTCTCTTCGAAGACAGTACAGGCTGCTGGTTTGCGGGGAGCGACCACCAGGCATGTGCTCCGGGCTGCAGGGGGCGTGGGCAGGCATGCAGGTGCCGCAGACGAGTGCCAGACGGGGTGTCCGCAGTGGGCATGAGCAGGCAAACACGGGGGTTTCTCGCAGTCAGACTCTGGGCAGATTGAGCTTGAAGAGGGGGGACGCAGGTGGTGGGTTTGGGAGCCGTGTGGTGCACAGACGCGAAAGGAGGAGGTGAGGGGCCCATGCAGGGTTAAGGCGAGAGAGACCCACGCAGGAGAGGAGGGGGCAGCCGCCAAGACGGTCCCAGGCACCATGCAGAGCCGGGCACCTGCACAGAACTGCCCCGGCGTGGGGCTGCAGGGGTTCGCGTGCAAACCAGGGGCCCCAGGCGGTCATACAACAGGCCTGCTGCGTTCCTCTCCTCGGGCAGCCAGGCCTGAGGGTCATGTAGAACTTTCTTGCCTTTTAGGGACTGGAAACTAATTTATCTTTCCAAGTTTTGCATTTAACGAAAGGAGCATGCCCTGGCTTGTCGGCCGGGTTCCGCTTTAATGCGCCCGGAGTTCAGACGGCTCACCAGCGGCAGAGCTCGATCAACACGTACCTAAGCCCGGGTCTCAGATCGATCCGCCCCCCCCCAGGGTGTCATTCACGCCTCTGTCCCCCGGGGGGTCCCATTCACACCTGTGCCACTCAGGGCTTGTCCGGAGGCTCCTGCTCCCTCTGGACACCCCCGCGTGCCTCCCGGGAAGGGCCTGTCCCTGTTGCCAACACTGAGTGCAGAGCTTGTCTTAACCTTTCTTTTTCCTACAGTGACCCGAGCACTTGGCGTGAACTCTCGACCTCATTGCTTTTCCGCAGTCCCCTCCAGCCGCTGTAAGTGTTATTGTCCTTGTCCCTCTCGGCAGGAGCTGGTGGTGGCCCTGAGTCATCTTGTCGTTCAGTACGAAAGCAATTTCTGCACGGTGGCCTTGCAGTTCATGGAGGAGGAGAAGAACTACCCCCTTCCTTCTCCGGCGACCACAGGTACGGCGCCGTGGCGCAGGGAGCCAGCCGGGCCCGGGTGAGGACCACAGCGGCCCTGCCTTGCACCCGGGCCTGAGCTCACTGCCCACGCCAAGCGGCCCCTGTGACTCCTGTCCTGCCAGGCACTTAGCAGAATAGAAGGGGGCCGCACGGACCCTCTGACTCTTTTCCTTCCTTTTCATCGTTTTTGGAAATCACATCCCCAGACGTGTTGAAGGACAGCGGAACGCGTGCCGCGGGCGCTCCCAGAAACGCACGTCAGCCCTTCCTGCGATGAGCTGTTGTCGGTTTCCTGTTCATGAGTCACGTTAGCCAGCAGCTCTTCTCTTGTTTGTCCTTTTGGCGGGATTTCTATTTCTTCATGTTGGGCTGCCCCCTCCCCCAGAACGCAGCCTTCTCCGCAGGAAGGAGGGCTTGTGACCGATAACAAAAGCCTTACTGCTTTCAGAACATCAGGGAGGGGAAATGAAAATGAACTTGCTTAGCGGAAACAGCTGGCGTGCCGGAGGAGGGCACCGGGCGGCAGAGGGGAGGGCCTGCGGCACTGACCCCGCTGCCGCTGCTCTGCTGTCATCTGTAGGCCAGGGGCCCGCAGCCAAGCTTCACAGTGCCTGGCGCTGCCCTCAGGGCGGCCCCGGTCACCAGGCCTGCTCTGAAAGGTCTGTGATAACGGCGTCCCCGCACAACAGCCAGCGTGGGCTCCGTCTGCTTGCACACATCCCCTCCCCGCCCAGCGTGCCCATGTCCGGCTTTGTCCGGCCGGCTGAGCGGTGGGCCTGCTGGCGCCGTTCACACTGGCCCCGGGGAGCTCCCATCACCTGCTGTGGTGGCCTCCCCGCTAACAGGGTGTGCTGCCCCCAGAGCCCACCATTAACTCTTTCTTCTCTCTCCCAGAGGGTGGGAGTCTGACCCCAGTGCGGGACAGCCCGTGCACCCCCAGACTCCGCTCCGTGAGTTCCTATGGAAACATTCGAGCCGTCACCACTGCCAGGAGCTTGAACAAATCTTTGCAGAACCTGAGCTTGACAGAGGAATGTGAGACACTGGGAATTGGGTCCTTGGGTTGGGACAGTCGTGGGTCGGATTCTCCAGAGCTTTAGGGACACCCGGGCCTGCCCCTTTCTCTGCCCTGAGGGCGTGTCCCGCTGTCCCACCTGCTGGCCCCAAGGTCTCACTGTGGCACAGGCGCCACTGCAGAGGAGGTGGGGGTGGGGGAGGCACATGTCTGGTCCCAGGCACCTGTGCTGACGGCCCCCACCATGCTGTCTGGCCAGCGGGCAGCTCGGTGGCGTTCTCCCCCGGAAACCTCAGCACGAGCAGCAGCGCCAGCAGCACTCTGGGCAGCCCCGAGAGCGAGGAGTACATCCTGTCCTTCGAGACCATCGACAAGATGCGCCGCGTCAGTTCCTACTCCGCGCTCAACTCCCTCATCGGTGAGTGCCGCGGCCGGGCCGCCCTTCCCCACCTCGCTGGCCCGCGGGGCTCACAGGGCGCGGGACTCAGGGTAGTTCTGGTGGGAGAGCAGGCGTCAGCTGGGGCGCGGGGACTGCGGGCAGCTGCAAGTGTCCGCTGCTTTCACTGAGATGGGATCTACAGGCCGTTCTGGGCGTGTGGGGGGAGGCTTCCAGAAGCTTCCGTCTGCCACAGCCCAGTGGCTGGCTGTGCAGTGACTCTGCCCCAGGAGACACCCTGTCTGTCGCGCCCAGGGCAGAGCAGCGGCCGCCACACCTAAGGGCAGAGAAACACTCCACATGTAAAAATGCAGGGACGCTCACGGGACATTCTCCGTGTGTGTTTCGTTCCTGACTTAAGGACTCACACATGGAGCCAAATCCCCAGAGCCTGGCCACGGTGTCCGTGCTCTTTCGCTGTCCGGTGACCCCCAAGCACGGTGCCCCTCACAGGGCTCAGACTTCGTGGAAACCTGTCCTGCGGCTTGCATCCCGCAGGGCAGCTCCTTCCCGCTGCTCTCTCTGAGCCAAGCGCCGTTCGCCTGCTGCCCCAGCCCCCTCGTCTGCCACGGTTGACTGGCCCGTCCTGTCGGCGGAGGGCTGACCGGAGCCCGTCCATCTAACCCCCACAGGATTGTTCAGCCGTTTCTTCCTAGGTTAGCTGCAGCGCCTTACGTGGTTCTAAGATGCCCATTTCAGCCGAATGTTCTCGCTCCAGGGCGCTGTGCCGAGTGCTCTCCGGACCTTGTCCCCTCTGCCGTCCCCCGTACTCCTGTTGCCGTTTGCGTACTTCTGCTCCTTGTTTGCAACTAATCCCGCAAGACATCGGTTTGTTTCCCAGTGTCTCCCAGTCCCAACTTCTGCTTTGTCCATTACCTCATTAGATCTCTACGTTTTGTTCCAATATCTTTGTTTCGTTACTCCCTTCCCTTTTCTTCAGCTTTCCTTCGTTGTGCATTTTCATTTCTGGAGCTGAGAACGCAAATAGCTCACACGCTGGGGCTTTCTTCTACGTTCCGACACCAGCATTCACATCTGTGGTTTCCCGGTCGGCCCCTCGTCCGTCCTTGTATCGGTTCTAAGTCGTCGGCTTATTTCCGTGGCGAGCCCCGAGCCCTAGTGCTGACACTGTCCACACCACGTGGCGATCGCGGTATTTCTGACTTTCGGCCCTGAGCTGGAGGGGTCAGGGCTGCTGTCCCCGCGTGAGCCACACCAGTCTGCCACCCTGCTGCAACAGGGCTCAGGACGTCTACTATAATCCCTGCAGGTCGGGTCCATGTGGCGTCCCCTCGGGGCCTGGACGGGCGGTGGGTTTCAGACGTGGCCACCGTGCCCCCCGGGGTGGCAGGAACCGGAAAGGGATCTTTGCTCACCAAACACACCGACCCATGACCAAGAACGTGGCTCAAAAATACCAACTTGAGTTGCCCATCTAAACTGAGAAATGACATCGCAGACTCACGTGTTTGGTTGTTTGCTAAAATATCTCAGGTGCCCAGAAGACATAGGGCTGGCCCTTGGCCCGAGCGCGGTTCTGCTGACTCACCAGTGAAACGCGTTCTGAGTGTCCGGTGCAGGGTGTCTGTTTTGAACTAGAATTAACGCTGTGTCTGGTGGCTCAGTTCCAGGCTGGCCCCACAGGAGTCTTAAAACCCAGGTCGGTGCGACTCTGAATTAGTATTTCTGTGTTTGTATCTACAACGAGGTCGCATGAAGCCCCGGGGCAAACTCGGGGACACAGAAGTTCCCCTCGCTGTGGCTGCGACCCACCAGCCAGGTGAGCTGGGCCACGTCACCGCTCCCTCCCCCCCCCCCCCCCCCCCCGGGGCCGGGGGGCCCCCCCCCCCCCCTCGCCAGAGCCGGGTTGGCAGACAGTCTCTGCAGGAGGCCAGAGAACGTGGGTTTTCAGTCTCGCAGGCGGCCTGCAAACAAGTGAACCTGGCCGTGTTCCAATCAGCCTTCACTTACGGACTTAAACGTAAATTTCCTGAAATAGTCACAAGTCATGAAACATTATTTTCCTTTTTACTTTTTTCCCCAACCACTTTAAAAAAGTATAAAAACATTCTTCCTTTGCAAGCCATCTGAGGACAAGCAGCCGGGCCGTGGCTTGCCCGCGTGCAGGACGCGCCCTTCCTGCCCCTGCAGGGTCCGGCAGCGTCCCCTGCTGCTCCTTCTCAGGACAGGGAGGCCCCTGCGTTCATCCAGCAGCGCTCCAAGTGCGGCCAGCGTGCGGGCTTCCGGGCCACGCGGCGGTGGGAGAAGTCAGCGCAGAAACGCCTCTGACTTTGAAGCCAGTCACCACACCGGCCGGCTCCCCCCCTGCCCCACCTCCGCTGCAGGGGCACGGTGGACCCAGGTCCTCGGCCCAGAGCCAGGTGTTATCCGTGACTCCCCTCTGTCCCTCGGCCCTGCATCCTGGCCTCGCCCCCCAGGCCAGCATCCCCCGGCGCTGGCTCCCACGGGCTTCTCCTGATCAGCCTCCCTGTCGCCTTCATCGGGGCCTCGTCCTGACTGTGTCCTGCCACGTGACATGTGTCCCCGTGCCTTGTGGCCCTGCCATCCAGTACCGCCTGTGTCCGCGGCTGTGAGCCCACTCCGCGCCCCCTGCCCACACACACGCTGGCTGCCAGGAGAAGAAACTGTCGAAACGGTCACAGAACTCGCAGAAACACACTGTGTGTCACGTGTCAGATGGAACCGATGTGAGCAAGAGTCAAGTCACATGTCATCAAGGGACCTCTGAGAGCTTTCGTCGAAAGGTTCCTGTTGTCTACGGCACATCCCTGTCTCCGGGGCCTTTGACCGCGTGTGCCGGCGGAGGCGACAGCAGGTTTGGGCCGTGTCACAGGGCAGGTGCAGGGTCCTGCCTGGAACGCAGCGCTGCTCTCTTGATGAGGGGACACCCTCCTGTCCTGGGTGCTGGTGGGGAAGCGCTTCTCGGTGGCTGTAAAGACCGAGAATGTTGTCGGAGGCCACGTCAGGCTGGAGAGCACGGCAGCACAGGGGAGAGGCAGGGACCGTCCTCTCCAGGCTGCACCGTTTGCCCCTCCCGCCTCTACCCTGCCTGCTGTCTTCCTCCAGGGAGCCGGCGGCCCCTGCCTCCTCGCTCACAAGTTCTGACTCCCCGAGAAAGCCGAGCGTTGTCTGCGTGTCGGTCAGAATTCTGAGCCAGGTCGGAGCTGACGGAGCCGCTTCGAGCACGTCCCCTGAGCCAGCGCTCCCGTCCACGCATGCCTACCACGTGGCCCCACCGAGTCCCGTGGCTCACAGCTCTCGCCTGCTCGAAGACCGGTTTTTCCTTCGTTTCAGCCAGAGGATGGCCGTCTCTCGAGCCTCTCACTGGATGTTGCAGAAGAGGTTTTCAAAACCATGGCAACCTAGGGACGTCCATTATTCCCACCTTCTCCAGAAACGCCAGCCCCTCCAGGTCCCCTCGCAGCCCCCTCCTTGCTCTGTCGCCGCGGGCACTCCTGGTCTCGCCTGCTGTGCAGCGTATCCAGGAATGAATTCGGGCCTGGGCTTCCCTTGACCCCGCCTGGACCCCTGCGGCGCCTGAAGCATGCCAGCCTGACGTCGTGGAGCTGTGCCGGGGCCCGGTCTCCGTAGCCCCTCACCTCTGGAACCCACGCACCTGACTCCCCAGCCGTCTGGCCTGACTCCCACGTGGGCCCCCCATCGGTCCTCCCCATCTCTGGGTTCCCCCACCCCAGGGCCGGTCTCAGCACGCTGCATGCCAGGACCCCCCCTGAGATCCTGCCCGCGTGTCTACCTACTGCCAGGCTTGTCCGATGGCAGCCTCGCACAGAAGCCTCTGTGAACACCGCACTTGCCGTCAGCTCCCGACTCAAGGCCTTGCGCCTGCAAACAGCCCTCACCTTCACCATCACCGCCCACACCCCGTGCCGCCACCGCTGCCCTCTGCCCTCAGGCTGGACGGTGGTCCCTGAGCGAGGCATGGACATCCTCTCTGACTCACCGCACGGCCTCTCCAAACCAGCAGCGCCTGGTCCTCCCTGCTGGTGACATTCTGCATTCCTGCAGGGGTAGGGCGAGGGGGGTCCCTGACCCCCCCATGACCGGAGCTCCCCATCTTTATCACTCAGTGTTGGTGACGCTGCCACTTCCTGCTCCGTGTGCTGCAGACCGCCCCGTGTGCCCCTCCCGCCCCGTGTGCCCCTCCCGCCCCGAGTCTCACCCCGTCGGTGTGCCCGGAGCGGGGAGTGGGAGGGGTGCAGAGATACAGCCCCTGACATCAGGGGTCCCCGTGATGCACCCCACCCGCCCCGCCCCATCAGTCACGCTGCTCCACGCCCTGGGTCCTGGGGGCAGGGACGGTCACTCTTCTTTGCAGGAGCAGCCTGCAGGGGCGAGGGGGTCATTTTTGTTCTGGGGACTCGGGAGCAGACTGCGGCGGCCGTGAGTGCCTCACCCCAGAAGCACCAGCTAGCTGTAGTCAGAGACCTGGCCAAGGGGGGCACAATCATGCCTTCACCAAGTTTTGTGATGGTTGATACCACCGGAAGTGTCCTCCCCTGTGACAAAGCCCAGCCACAGGTGGGCAGGGAAGGGAGGGCCGGGAATCGCGCTCTCGCCGGCCTGGAGCCTGTCCCCACCCGGCTGTGTGCCCAGAGCTGGGCCCAAGTTCCTGCTCAGAACCGGGGGGTCACGGGCGCTGCCCATACCACTGGAGGAGGAGGCCTGGTGAGCAGAGCTGACTTCCCACTGGGGCCCCTGGGGATCCTGCTCGTCCTGAGGCCACTTGTCCCTGTTGCATCGTGACTGGCCAGGAGAGAGCATCTCCTCCCTCACTCTCCTCATCTCCCCGCAACCTTGAGAAGTCCTACCAGGAGGCCTTCACGAGCCCCCAGCAGCCCTGGGGGCCCCATAGCCACGAGCTCCGAGCACGAAAAGCAGAGGGGCGGGGGGGAGTGCGCAGCCCCATCCATCAGGAGCAGGGGGAGCGGTCGTCTCCAGAGGAGCCACACAATCCCGGGCGAGGCTTTACAGCCCATTAGTTTGATGTCTCGCAGCCGGCGGGGACGGCGGTGGAGGGAGGACGGTGTCGTTTCCCAACGCCACATCCGTTATGTTTTTATGGCCACAGCCCTTGATTAAAGGCCATTATTACATGTGTCTCATAGGGGCCCTGAGGACCATGGCGGACGGGATTATGCACACAGGGTGACTACCCAGTCTAGGCGGAGCTCCGGCCTTGGGGTCTCAGGCCAGAACTGCTCACGCCTCCCGTGGGCAGAGGGAGGAAGGCCCTGAAGGGGGTCCGTCACCAGGGTCAGCCCGGCAATGGGGACGGCCAAGGGCGGTGTCCCCAGGCCTCGGACGCCAGTTGCCGGACGGGGCACAGGCTCTCCGCATCAGCGTTGGGGACCCCTGAGACCCGGTGCGAGCAGCAAGCTCCCACTTCTCCGTTCTCCGCGCAGCTTGGCCAGCCCGGGGGACTTGGAAGTCCAGAGCTGGCCACAGAGCTCCGAGGAAATTTTCTTACATCTTAGGCTGTTTGGAAAGCGGTGGCCGTTGCTCTGAAAAATAAATGAAAAGCCATTAGTTACGATCCTTTATTACTTTCAGTCTAGACATGGAAATAGGTTCTCCGCGCTCATGAGGAAGGAGTTGATGAGTGGCAGACACAGGCGTCCTGTCGGAGCATTTAGCAGCCCAGAAGGCTCCCCTCGGGCATCCTACGCCCCCTCTCCCAGGCTCCCGCCTCTGCCGGCTCCTTCGCAACCTGGTGTCGGGTGGGCAGCAGCTTTAAGAGCAGGACGGCGAGGCTGAGAGCGCAGCGGCCGGACCAGGGGACAGTGACATGCACAGGCCACTTCTCTGCGCCAGTTTCCTGCTTTCACCAGCAAATACTTACACCATTCGTTGTGGCCAAGACCCTGGCAAAAATTAGAGCCTTTTCCTTCTCTGTTGAATCACAGCTGTTAAAGCCAAAATCTTCTGCAAGGAAGGCCACAACCGTGATAAAAAATATCAACGTTCTGTGACGTGACGGGTGGGAACAGCCACCATGTCCCCTGCTTCCTCAGTGCAGGACGTGCCTCCCCTTTGCTGGTGCTGGTCTTGTGCCACCACAGCCCCGTGCGCTGTCCTCGCGCTCACACCAGAAGCACCGCTGAGCCAGGGTCCGCCTGGTCGGGTGTCCGCTCTTCCACAGGCACACGCGCAATGAGGCTCCGTAGCACCACGTCCCCGTCCTCCCTCCCCCCGGGGTTTCTGACAGTATGGTGGGGTCTGTCATCTAGAGCACACCCCCGTGCTGCCCTCTGTCCCATGGTGGCCGCACTTCGGGGGAGCTAAGCCCAAAACGTATGGAGGGGGTAGACTGCACGCAGTGGCTGTGGTAAGTCTGAAGACCCTTCCCAAGAGCCTCCGGGTCAGTGGTGGTGACGAGGCCCCCTTGCCCCCCACGAGGGTGGTTCTCCTTTCCCTTCCAAGCGCACTGACCCCGCGAAAGTGACTGCCCGGTCCCTGCAGGTCGTGACCCCGCAGCCCTCGCGCAGGTGACGTGGGAGCCACGTCTTCGCGGACACGGTGCTTCTGTGGTGCGGGGTGCAGCTCCTGCTGGCGGGTGCTCCGCCACGACGCGAAAGTGGACTTTAGGAAATGCTCCCAGAGTCTCTGGGCTGATGTTGCCAAACAGCCTTTTCAGACTTTGGTCGTAGATCTGGACGGTTGTCCTACAGCCGTGGGGTCAGGGTCGAAGGTGTTCCCCTGTGCCTGTCTCAGAATAAAGCGTGCGGGGAGATGGGACGCATTGCCGCATGGGTCGCGCACCCTGACACCACCTTCCCTCCAAGCAAGGGTGCGCTCAGCTGACACCTCCCCAGCCGAAGTCCAGATTCATGTGGAGCCCTGGTCCCTCGAGGGGCCCCTGTCCCACCCCCTGGGCCATGAAGCCCATGTGAGCCACCATCTGCATGCCGGCACCAGAGCAGAACGCTGACGGCAGCACCCGATGTCTCGCCGCCTCCCCTCCTGGCCGCGCAGCCATGCCTTTCTGCATGGTCGCCCTGAGGCACCTCGAGAGAGACGGGCTGCTCCCGCCCCACTCCACAGCAGCAGGTGTGCGGCTGTGCGGGCGTGGCCCTGCCCTTCGTCCAGTCTGCCTCTGATTGGAGCGCTCCAGTGCCACCTGCTCCACGTGCAGGGCCGCGTCCATCGGAGACGCTCTGTGGTCCAACAGCACTCATGATGCTTGAGGTCCCGCGCTGGTGCACAAGAGGGGCTGTGCTCGGACTGGCCAGGAGGCTGGCCTGCGGTCTCAGCAGATCCAAATAATGCTCATTGCATCGCTTTCTGTGGCCAAACACGCAGTTGTTGATGAACTGTCCAGCTTCCCCAGATAAAAAGGATGCAGTTCCACACTGCTGTCTCCTGCTCGTCACGCCATCCGTGAGAGCAGGACCCTGCCTGTGTCTGGCCCCCAGGCTCCCCCCAGCAGTGCGCAAGGGTGCGGCATCCACACTGCGCTGCCCAGTCCCAGCTGTGGCTCACGTGGCCTCTCCCAGGGCTGCCGTTCTCCTTCCTTGCCTGCACTGACCCCGTTCCACGACCCCCCCCAGAGGCCTGCACCCAGCCCCACCTGCTCTGTCCCCTGGGTCTCTGAGCTGCCCCCCTGTTCTCTCTAACTTGCACACCCAGGTCATGGTCGTGCCGCTTCTCCAAACGCTCCATGCATTCCCATTACCTCCATGACAGTCCGTTGTTGGCTCTGCTCACTTCCCTTCAGGAAGGTCTTTGCAGGAGAGCAGTCCCCAAAGCCCCCCACATGCCACTTCCGTAAAGCCGTCCTGGCTCCTTGCCTCCTGGCCCCACTCCTGACAGAAGGAGTCACTTTTCCTAGAGCCACCACAGTGGCCATGCTATAGACATGGTGTCAGCCTGAACCTCAGACGGGGGCATTTGAATCCTTCATCCTTTGGACACTGGGCCTCACTGTCCCTCTGTGACACCCAGGATAGTGTCAGCAGCTGCGATCGTGAGACTTAAATAGGGCTGAGTGGACCCCCGGATAAGGCCCTCAGTGACATTTGTTCCTTCATGTCTGGGATGCGCCCTGTCCAGGCTTATGTCCTATCTCATCTGCCGTGGTGTCCGGCTTTGCAGACGGGACGTTGTGTAGCCTGCTGGGGACCTGGAGGGCTGGGGTCACGTCACGCATACCCTTTGTGATTTCCTGGAACTCAGGACAGTACTACGTGTGGTCACAGCCCAGAGCACACCCTGAATGCAAGAAAGGTGTACACAGGACTCCTGTCCAACACTCGTGGCTCCTGGGAGCTTGGGCATAAAATCTAGTGGTCTTGGAAGCGAGATGACACTGTCCAGTCAGCCAGGGCTTCAAGGAAGGCAAGCCTTTTCTAACTCACTTTTTCTTCTGGAAAGAGCCAGCCTCAGAAGATGAAGTCATCAAGCCTGTTTACCAGCTGGGATCCCTGAATTTCTGGGCCCCTGACCAGAAAACAAAAGCCTCACCTAGCCCTAGCTCTTTAAAGTGTTCGTCCCCAGCAGCAGCCAGGTCTCCAGAAGACGGCCAAGTACACGGGCAGCTACCTATTACTGATACACCCCGTTTCTCTTTCCTAGGTGTTTCCTTCAACAGTGTTTACACTCAGATTTGGAGAGTCTTATTGCATCTGGCTGCAGATCCCTATCCAGATGTTTCCGACTTGGCCATGAAGGTGCTCAACAGCATCGCCTACAAGGTACGTGTGACGGCATTCCCGGTGAAGCCCACGAATCTGCGTCTCGGTGACGGATATGCACGCGGGGAGCACCGGGCACTGTCAGGTCTACACTGTGGTTTAGACATCCGACAAGCGCTTCACAGCGTACCCCGGCGTCTGTTTACGGGTAGCTTCAGTTGGGGCGCCATCCTGTGGTATTGGGGTGCCAGGACGTTAGGTAAGGGTTGCCGTTAGCCTCGTGATCCTCTCGGGGTCTGTGTGGTCTGTAGTGATGCCTCCTTCGTTCCCAATACCCGTGATTTGTGGCTCCTCCCACTCACAACTGTTCTGGCTAAAGGAAACCTTGAAGAACCAGCTTTTGGTTTCATTACTACTTCTTTGTTGCTTTTTACATCCAATTTTATCAATAGCTCAATTTGTCTTCATTACCCCCTTCCTTTTGTTTAGTCCGAGTATAACTTGCTCTTCTAATTCCAGTCTCTTCAGATGGAAGCTGTGGTCATTACCTTTGCCTGAAACTGTGTGACACACAGCCGCCTTGAGACCTTCTTTTCTCTCTGAGGCCTAGGACAGCCTCCTGGCTGTGGCCAGCACAGCCGTGACCCGCGTGTTCATCAGCGGCTCCGGTCATCCTCCCCCCACCCTTGGTTATCCTGGTCATGATGAAACCATATTCAGCTTATGTAACTGTACTTTTCAGTGGCTTTTATGCAGTTAACCTTACTAAAAATCAACCTGAATTATTTAAAAATACGATTTGAGTGCCTAATTTTAAAATTTAACAACTATAAATTCATCCCAGTAGACCTGATGTCAGGATGTCAAATACATTCCTCTTAGGAATCTCTCTCTAGTACGTGAAGCCCAGAAACCACGTCTCCATGTCTTTTTGGATTATGTGTCAAGTGTGGAGCCATAAGCCAGAGACTCCCCTCACTCCGCTTCGCGGTAATTAAACGCCGTGTATATAATCACTCCTGCCAGGCAAAGCCACACCAGCCAGTTACAGCAACCGGAAACAGAGCCGTTCATACCTTCAGAGCGGCACTCACGAATAGATACTTGAAAGGGGCAGGTGGCTTTCTGCCTGCTGTGCTGATCTAGATGGACACACACATCGCAGTGCACGTGGCTGGCACGCCCAAGGGCATACCCAGGTGGAGGGACAGAGATCAGGGTGGGCCTCCTCCAGAGTCCATGCTTCCCAGAGCCTTGCCCGGGGACAGCACAGCCTGTGTGTGCGAGCATCTTGGTGTACATCCGTGGGTATGTCTGCGTGTGTTCACTTTTAAGAGCAAACACGGCTACTGAAGGATTTGGAAGCATAAACATGAAGGAAACATTTTCTTGTCCTCAGTTTAATTACAGAAAATGTCTTACGTTCTACTCTAGTAACCAACGAGGAGATTACATTTTGGTTTACAGAGAAATGGACCTATTTTTGATATTCAACTCTGAAGGCAAATTTTTGTTCATCAGAGTCAAACCGCCTCATTACTCTGGAATACCCCGTAGGATTCTGTATTCAAATATAGAAATTGCTTCCAGCTTGGGAACCCACACAGCTCAAGAGCTGTGGCCTAATTTCGAGTATTTATATCCCCTTTCCACACAGGCTTGGGGTTTACATTTTGCCTGTAGTTTTTTTTATTATGGAAAATTTCAAACCATGTGCAAGTACAAAGGAGAGCAAGATGACCCCCGGGAACCGTGTCGGCCCCAGCCACCTCCCCCGCGCCGCTCCTGCCATCTGTAGTTTGGGGAAAACTCTGAGAAGGAAATCTCGAGCTGCCACCATTCAAATGTCAGGGTCACACATAATAATAATCGCTACTTTTAATATTTATGAGAAAATGGATCAGCACATAAACTTACCTAAAAATGGTCCACCCACGACTCCACACCCAAGGAACAAGAGTGCGATTGCTGTGCCTGCTGTGGGACACGGGCAGCCGGGTGTGACGGAGATCAGAGGTCAGCGTGCGCGGTTCGAGGCTGAATGCCTTTCTTAGAGACTGAAGGCCTGAGCGACAAGAAACAAGAAGAAGGTTGGGGTCGTCCCCAGAACAGCACCTTCTAAAGTGCCACGGAAACTGCGACTGAAACCCCACTCTCCGTCATAGCATTAGCTTCTTACGTTTCTCTTAGAAGCACGTCATGGTGCAGGGACTCCCTCCTCCTCCGAGTTAGCGGCCTCAGCCAGCACCTGGGGAGCCCACTGTGCTCGTCCCAAATCTGATTTCACCCAGCGAGTTTGCACGTAGCCTCATGGCCAGCGACACGCAGGGCACCTATCACAGGCACCTCTCCACCCATCTTCCCGCGGGATCGGTGGTACGCGGGTAAACATCCTGACTTCTTTCCGCATGAGTCAAACAGCCTTCAGCTCCCGGAGGTGGAAGTGCTGGGTCGGCCTCTCCCCCCAGAATGATCCGTCTGCTGCCTGAAGGCCGCCAGCTCCCCAGCTCCTCCCTGGAAGGCCCTCAGCTGGCCCAGCCCCACGATTCAGAGGCACAGTGCTGGCTGCGCCTGTCCCGGGCCACCGCCCCATGCGCCCCCTGGCCTCCCGCTGCCTCCACCAGGAGGAGGGACCCCGAGAACTGTCAGGCCAGTGTGGGTCCCAGGAGCCGCATGCCGCGGCAGTGCCCGCGAACCGACCGTGCCGAGAGGCATCTGCGCACATAATTTGCACCTTCTCATGCACCTGTCCGTCCCCACCTCCCTGCAGACCCAGGGGTGACGGCGTCTTCACTCAGACTAGCTTAGCTTATGGAAGTAGGGCTGTCCCTGAGAGTCACTGGCCGGTGGGCCCTGCCAGGCCGGGTGCAGGAACAGCCCCAGGAGAGCTGGTTCCCTCAGGGACTCAGACCCAGTGACTCTGGGGTGGCTTCTGGGAATGTGTTTCACAGAGATGCTGCCCTGGGCCTTCTGTGTGTCCTGCACATGGACTCATGGCCACCAGGTACTGGGTGGCCCTCCAGGCCCATGGGGCCTGTTCTCGGTCCATCAGCTTATAGCCCGCCACTTCACTTCCCCAGCTCATCCGCGGAGTGGGGCTTGTTGTAGGTCCTGCGGGATAGTAAACGCGGTAGTCCTGCGAGCCAGAGCGTGTCTCCTTCTCTGTCTTCCTTACTCTGTGCACATGCAGCAGGTCCTGGAAAGGGGCCGCTGAGACTCTCTGGCCTCGACCTTGCCGGCTTCTCTTCCTGGGGGCCATGGACTGAGGCTTTCCGGTGCCCGTCAATGACCGTGGGCCAGTGCCTCCTGCTGGTCACCATTGCTGGTGCCTGGAGCACTCCCTAGGACTCAGCCTTCCGGATGGAGACTTACGTTATTTTTTTTTAAAGATTTTATTTATTTATTTGACAGACAGACATCAAAAGTAGGCAGAGAGGCAGGCAGAGAGAGAGGGGAAAGCAGGCTCCCCGCCGAGTACAGAGCCCGATGCCCGGCTCGACCCTAGGACCCTGAGATCATGACCTGAGCCGAAGGCAGAGGCTTAACCCCATAAGCCACCCAGGCGCCCCGACTTATGTTCTTTATCTAGGAGCTGCAGCTGACAGAAAAATTACTTATTGGGTGAATAGACTTGGCTTTTATAGGTGTCTTGTCAGTGAGCAAGTGGCCAGCAGGCTGGAGGGAAGCCCCAGATTCCCTCCAGATAACCCTCGTGAGAAGCACTTTCTCCCACACGAGCCCAGGTCCTGGCTAGGACGTCCACTGCACAGTCCCACAGGTGCCGCACTCCCCCAAGAAAGAGCAGCCGGAAGCCCAAACCTGACTCTGTCTGGCCGCTGGGAAGTCGTCTGTCCAAGGTCACCTACGCGGCTTCCGGGCCTCTTTCTCCGCACTGGGTCAGACTCTGTGTGCCCTTGTGAGGTGACGCATTCCAGTGGAAGAACCAGAGAGTAAGGGGACCTGGAGGCGAGCCTGCCGCAGCCCCAGGCCCCTGCTCCAGACGCCCCGATCGCTGCACAGGGCAGAGAGCAGAGATGGGCTCATGTATCTGCATGCGCTGCCACATGTGTCCCTGTGAACGTTTCGATGTTGGCGCCGGGCCCAGAGAACACATCTGACCTGAGAATTCGCTTGTATCAAAGTAACAGTTGCGGCCCTACGAGAGCTTGACCTATAGCCATGACCACCCCTCCCTGCGGCCTTGCTCGTCCGGACTCCGCCTGTCAGGGAGGGCACACCAGTCCCTCCAGTGGCTTCAGGGCCGCATCCTGGAGCAGAGAGTAATGGGCCTTCACCGCGAGAAGGATGAGCAAAGGTGGAGACTGTGCGGGGCTGACGGGCTCACGGCAGGCCCGGTCCTCCATTCAGAGCCTGAAAGTGCCACTGCCCTCCTGCTGACCTTCTCTGGCCATGTGCTGTCTGTGTGAAACGACGGCTGGGACCAGTGCAGGAAGGAGCCACTCCAGACAGCCACTGCGGCTCCCCAGCTCACCACCCTGCCTCACCCCGTGCCCTGTGTCCCCAGATCAGGTCTGCACACAGGCGGGTCCCCTCGCGCTCATCCCTGCAGGCCTATCAAGGCCAAGTCAGAGTGTATCCAGCAGATCAGAACCTAAAAAAAAGGCTAAAAAAAAGCTTCCTCGAAGCCTGACGCTCTGTGATCGCTAGTGTGAAGGCTGTCAGCAGGCCCACCGCTCAGGATTTCTAACACCGACACGGAAGAAGGGCCGCGTGGCTGCCGTGGGTGTGGATGGTGTGGACATGGGGCTGTGGACACCCTGTCCGGGATGCCCTGGCAGAGGGACCAGGACCAGTTAGTCCACGAGGCCTCCTGAGGGGTGGCAGGCTGGCAGCAGGCCCAGGAGAGGCAAGTGGGAAGGTCTCGGGGGTCGCAGGGAAGGTGAGGGGCTCTGCTAAGGTCTGCATCTCAGCACAGAGGCTTCCTGTCCGCCTGCCGCTGCTGGAACTCTGGGGAGACGCGTGGGAGGTGACAGTTTCTTGGGTTCTTCACCTCCTTTGGTTACTCGGGGATGGCTTGGCTCTTGGGGTTTGGGGGGAAGGGAGCTGGCCAGGTAATTTAGTACAAAGCAAAAGCAAGTTCACAATGTAACTTTTGTAATTCAAAAAAGCTTTTTTCATGATATTTAAAGGTTGATTATGGTTCAGTTTTCTTGCTCTTCTTCCGAGTGGTGGATTATCAGGGCGACACTGATGTCCTGTAAATGAACAGTCTTACAGTTGTTTTGTTTTCTGCCGTTTTTGTCTGTTGGCTGAACGCAGGAGGTACAGCATCCCGACTGCTGTGGGAGGGGCGAGGGCACACGAGGGTCCCCGAGTAGGGTGGCCCTACATCATCACCCACAAAGGTCGAGGTTCTGCTTGGCCCAGCAGTGGCGGCCAACTTTGTGACCCCGTCTGGCACTGACTGCACTCGGAAAGCCGATGGCCGCCTCAGCCACCACCTGTCCCGAGTGTCACCTGGGTGGCCACAGCCGCCCTTGGAGCCCTCTCAGCTGGGGTGTCCGGAGCCAGCAGGGCCCCCTGCCCAGCCAGCCCTGCACGCCCAGCAGAGCGTCCGGGAAAGGACGCCGTCAGGCGAGTGGTCCGCACCCTCGTTCGCTGCGCTTCCTGGTCACGTGTTCCAGCAGACGTCTGGTTTCCCGACCCACGCAAACCCGAACGACTTCCCAGAGCGCTGGTCTCAGGCTGGCTCAGCTCCTTCTCTGCAGGGAGATGTCGCACGCTGCGCATGTCGTGGAGGAGGTTTCCAGAGCCTGCTACCTCGTCTCCGTCCACGACGTGCTGTGTCCGGGGACCCGGTGTGAGCCCCTGCAGGGGAAGGCGGAAAGCAAACCCTGGGGTGCAGTGTTCTCAGCCATCCCGGGGCGGGGTCCCGGCGCCCCGACTCGCCGTTGACCCTGGCGTGGTCTCGTGGCTGCAGCTCCAGGAGGGCCAGCGCTCGGGCCTCCTGGTTCTAGAAGAGCGGACAAGCACAGTTTCACCTGCAGGGCCCTCCCTCTTCCCCAGCCAAGAGGCCCCTTCTCCAGTCATGAGGCCGTGACCCCACAGCCGCCCACGGCCTCGGAGGCTGCCGGCAGCTGACGTCCGCACCACTTGTCCCTTTGCTCTTGCAGGCCACAGCAAACGCACGGCCGCAGCGGGTCCTGACCACATCCTCACTCACCCAGTCGGCCCCCGCCAGCCCCACCAACAAGGGCATCCACATCCACCAGGCGGGGTAAGTGGCCTGTGTCCCTCCCGTGGGCCCCTGGCTAGAAGCCCTCACTGCCTTCCTCTGACCTGAGCCTGACGTCTGCCGCCCCGCAGAAGTTCAGAAGCGAGGGTCTCCCCTGTCCGGTCGGCTCCCCGCAGGCAGTGTCCAGAGGCAGGAAGCCGTGAGCACACGTGGGCCGCTGCACCTGCCTGGGCCCCGGCTGGTTTGCTTAGGGGGTGCAGCTTGCCTGGGGTCCCCCAGCTTTCTGGAGAGGTGACTCTGAGAACCTGCAGGCAAGGCCTGGAAGGGTCATTGGCAGCTGGGGTCTGGAGGCATGGGCACGTGCCAGGCAAGTGAGGACATGTTGGGCTCCTGATCCCAGGTCTGTTGGCAGCGTCTAGGTGGGCGGTGTGCAGACAAGGTATTTCACGTTTGGGTAAAATGCAGCGTTTCCTCTTCCCCCAACGGCAGGGGCTCCCCACCGACATCCAGCGCCAGTAGCTCCAGTCTGACCAATGACGTGACCAAGCAGCCAGTTGGCCGAGACCTGCCCGCGGGCCGCCCCGGTGGCCCAGGCGCTGCGGGGGTGCAGTACACGCCACACTCCCAGCAGTTTCCCCGCACACGGAAGATGTTCGACAAGGGCCCAGACCAGGTACCCTCAGACCATCCCCTGGCGCTCCTCGAGAGTGTGGGGGCCGCACACCACGCCCCTCGCTGTGAGCCCAGACTCTGGAGCCCAGGACACAGGGTCCGACGCCCCCTCCGCCGCCAGCGGGAGCTCTCGGTTTGCACCAGAATCACAGCTGTCACAGGGTCCTTTCTCCTGTGGCCTTTTGTAGTGGGCTCCCCGTCCCAGCACCCCCCATGCAGCCGGAGCGCTCTTGGAGCTCATTTGCTTTCTCCCTTCGTGGATGAGTAGCCTTGTCCTCCACGGGCCGGGGCAGCTGCCCCCCAGAAGTGGCTGTTCTGAGCGGGGTGCTGACTTCTCTGTAAGCGTCCGTTGTGCCACGTAAGGGGCCGCGGCCTCTGCCTCTCAGCTGGGATTTCAGAGATCTCGGGAGCGGGAGGAGTTGGTGTCCCCGTGTGCCTGGGCGCCGTGAGCGCAGGAGCTGGGCTTTGGCTCTCATCCAGACGGTCTGCCGCTTACCAACAAGGACTCACCGAGGGAGTTGGGCTGCTGTGGACACCTCGTCAGCCGTGGGTCTCAGCTCCTCTGACCCATAGTTTTAACAGGAAACTCCCAGCAGCCTGCAGGGAGACCAGAGCAAAGGCACACGTGCCCCCAGACCCACACCCACCCTGGCGTTAAAGGCCTCCTGCTGGTCTCTGTGGGACAGATGTGGCCATGAGCCCCCATGGAAGCTTCATCCTCCTGGCTAGACCCTGAGGCGGGTTAGCCAGACAGGAGCGGCAGGGCTCAGGGGGCGCTCACTGTCCTTGGGGCCACACGCCCAGGGGCTAGGCCCAGCAGAGCTTCCGCAGCTGTCGGGATAAGACCCTCTCACTGCGTCCCAGCTGGGGGACTTGGCCCCAGGCAAGGCTCCCCTGGATAATGAGGGCCCCTGTCTGAGGAACGCCTTCAGTGTGGCCACCCCGGCCTCCTTAGACCCTGCCGTGGGAAACAAACGTGTCGCACCACAAAGCAGCAGCACCAAGCAGTGTAGGTCTTGCTGTTTGTGTGACCCTCCTGTGCCGGAGCCACTTGGCACAGCAGGGGGCCAGATCGCTGGCAGCCGCTGACCTGCCAGACCGCAGAGGCCGCAAGGCCTTGCTGACCTCACAGCGCCTGGCCTGTGCATCTGATTTAAACAGCCTCTGCACCCCAAGCCGCCGTGGCTGGCCCTGGGGGATGGTCCCTGAGTGCAGACTCCGTGGCCCTCCCTAACGTGGGCTCCCCAGAACCCTGGCCACACACTCGGTCCCCTGCCACCAGGATGCAGACATGAGGCCAGCAGAAAAACATTCTCGGCACCCAAACCGCTGCCTTTGCCTCCTTTCCAGTCCTCTCAGGCGCACAAAGAGGTGTGTGGAGTGTGTGACTAGTGTCTCTGTTTTCTCTCCTCCCCCCGCAAACACCCGTGAAGACCACCGACGACGCAGACGACGCTGCGGGGCACAGGAGCCTCATCTCGGCCACGGTGCAGACCGGCTTCTGCGACTGGAGCGCCCGGTATTTCGCCCAGCCTGTCATGAAGGTAGCGTGTGTCACGACATACACACCCAGTCCGGGTGCGGAGCGGGCCTGCCGTCCGCGTCTCGTGCAGGCACTGGGGTCGGGCAGAGCCTTGCCCTCGGCTCCCGTCTTGCCCTCCTTCCTTCCCCCAGAGCCCCGGCCCCCGGCCTCCGCGGTCAGAGCCCTCTGCTCCGAGCCGATGGTGGACCCTGCCGGGCCTGCGCACTGTCCCAGCTGGCCACCCGCCTGGCTCCCGCGGGCCCAGCCCCTGACCCTCGGGGGCTCCCGTCCCGTCACATTCGCGGCTGCTGAAGGGCCGCCCCAGACTGCCGTCGTGAGGCTGACGAGAGCCGTCAGAACAGAAGGGCACGGACTCCGTCCTCCGCGCTGTCTTCTGAGAGCGACCAGGCCGGCCTGCCCTCCCTGAGCTTCCTGCGTGAGTGCGTCACGCTGCCCCGCTCGGCAAGGCCGCCAGGCCGTCTGAGGCCTCCCGGCGAGGACGGCCCGAGGCTTGGGCTCTGACCCGTCCGCGAGGGCCGGTTCTGCTGCCTCATTCTGCCGCATCCCTGACCAGAGACACGTCCCGTCACCGCAGAGTCGAGCCGCGCATCCAGGGGCTGGCGTGGGGCCACTTTGTCCTGCTGTCTGTGCCCCGGAGAGCTGCGGGGGCCTGTGACAAGCGTCCTGGAAGCCTGCTCTTAGAGAGCTCCGTCTTCCTCACGAAGAGCACTGAAAACTGCGGTTTCTTCTTCATCGTGTGACCAGCTACACGTCCAAGCAGGCTCCTCGAGGAGGGGCTTGGGCCCCGCATGGCAGCTTCCGTCCCGTTCCCTTGTTCCCCATGATGACGCTGACTTCTGTCAGTAGAAGCACGAGACGGTCATTGTGGGGACCTGAGGCAGACAACGGAGTTGTAGTTCACTGAGCCCCTTTGCTGACGAGGGGAGCTCTCCCTTCCGTCTCCTGAGCCCGACTCCCGGAGGCGGTCGGCAGGAAGCGTCGGGAGCCGCGAGCAGCTGCTGCCTTCGGCACGGCGACTCGCTTGCAGCAATGACCGACTCCGGGAGCGGATCCGGGTCGCGGAGCACCTGTGTGCCGCTTACCGTAGCGGGAAGGACCCACCCAAAGGCCCAGTTGGGGACGAGAGCTTAGCCACGACGGACTGTTGGATACGATGTTTCTTGTTATTAAAAAGTTAAGGTTGGAAATCAGTATCTTAAGGAAATGCTTGTGCTAAAACTGGCAGGAAGGGGAAAAAAATAGGACATAAATTGGCCACAGGGTGGTCCTCGTGGGAACCACAACACACCGGACACACACCAAGGCAGCTGGCCTGGCCCGATGGAGGGTCTCAGGTGACGCGTCAGCCTGGCCCTGAGCCTGTTGATCTTTCTCTGTCTGTCGGTCCCACTAAGCGCCAAGTACCGGCACAGTCAGGACGAAGTACGAAAGCGGCAAACACGAGGCAGCCAAGGCCATGCTTACCTCCCAGACTTTTGGCACGCTGCCTGCCACCACCAGGTAGGCCCCCAGGTTGCCACCTGGGCCCTCGCTGAGGAAGGAACAAGTGAGCAAATGCTGGAGTTTGCACCCTGACGCGGGGGGCCCTGCTGCTGTGGGCCGTGAGCCGACCTTATTGCTCTGCTGCCGTCTGCTTTCAGGGAAATGGGTTTTTGCTCAGTGTCCGCAGAAGCTCGTCTCCCTGACACAGTCTCCTGCGAGCGAGGCCAAGTGGTGGGGGCCTGGGGTCGGGGGTGGGGAGCTGCTCGGCCTCTCACTGAAGTGGCATCGCCTGTAAGTTATGGGGGTTCCTTGGCATGGCGATGAGCGGCTTTTCCCGACATCTGAAACCGCCGTTTCGGCCGTCCACATTGCCGGCAGGGAGAAGGGCCACAGGTCACCAAGCTCCTTCCCTCCAGGCCTGAGACAAGTGTGGTCCTCCCAGGGTCTGGTTTCTTCTGGTCCGCGCGGGTCCTTGGGCCGGAGTTAAAGCTGGGCGCCTCCTGGGCGCGCAGTCAGCCCACGCTGAGCGGCTTCCTGAGCGCGGGCCGGGGGTTTTGCTCCCATGATACTTGCATGCATGCCCGGAGCCAGCACCGCCCCCCTTTCCCCTGTGGCCGCAGGTCCGCTGCCTTCGTGCCCTCTTCGTGCACCTGGAGTGTGTCCTGGAGGGCCTGCTGGGGGCGGTCCCGCACATCGCTGGCAGGGAGCCTGCGGCTCCCAGAGCACGGACACAGCCGTGGCCTGGGGATGGAGCGTCCTCGTGGGTGCGCCCCTGGCCTTTCCCGCGTAGCCCACGGGAGGCGGCCAGGAAGTCGTTGCGTAAGCCAGGCCGTCTCGCTCAGACAGACTGTCGCGCGGCTGCGGCTCTAAGGGCCGAGCCCCAGCATCCGGGTTGGAAGTGAAGCTGTGCTCTGACCGGTTTTGTCCGCAGCTCCTAATGGCGGCTGAGACAGGAGGGTGGTCGAGGGCCTGGGAACTTCTCCTGCGTTAGTCAGAGACCCTTTCTAAACGTTAGAGGAGGATGCGTTTTTATCTCATGGTAATTTTTTAAAATTGTCCTTTTTCCAGGGTTCACCCCGAGGGTGTTCCTTTATTCATTTATTTCATCGTCTAATGGCGTGTGCGGGGGCAGCCAATGAGCCAGGAGCTTTTTTGTTAGCCCGTTTCACGCGCAAACTAAGAATAGCTCAAAGCTAGGATTGTACCCCAGAAGTCCGAGCACTAAGCCGCGTCACAGGTCCATATGGGAAACTGAGCTAGCCACCAGAGAGCAGAACTGTCCCCAGCGTGTCCGTGCACCACCGCGGGGCCCCTCGTGCTCGGGCGACCCGGTACCCACCCTGTGGTGGCCAGGCACTTTCTGCTTCTTGCCACTTCGGGTCTTTGTGGCCAGAAAGAACTGTGTTCTGGAGCAGGCTGCCCTGTGACATGGAGGACCCCAGCTGCCATTTTTGTGCAGAAACCGACAAGCTGAGACTAACATTCAGATGGAAATGCGGGAGGCCCAGGGTGGTGCTGGGGCAGACAGTGTTGTAAAAGACAAGATAATTCAAAATTCAAAACCAATTTCAAACCCGCTGCCTAGTGGCAGGAAGGGGGACGGCATGGTGCTGGCTCAAGGACAGGCGCACGGAGAGTGGCCTCGAGCAGGAGCCCAGAGGCACACCGCGCCACGACACGCTACGGCCGCTGACCGACGGCTTGGTGGAAATGGACGCGCTGCGTGACAGACGCCAACGACCAGAACTCAGGCCGCACGGTGACGAGAGCACAGATGGTCCTGCATCCGGGAGGGGAAATGAGTGTGTGGTCCCAGCCGTCCAACAGAGAAAGACCGCTCCAGCTGCGGAAGTTTCCCTGGAAAATTTTACCCAAATTTAGGGAAAAAATAATACGAGTTCTTTATAATCTATTGCAGGAAATGAAAGGAGCCAACACCTCCCAGTTCACTGTCTGAGGGCAGCATTACGTGGATACCAGAAGCAGTCAAAGACTTGAAAGAATAAAAAAAACCACAAACCAGTGTCCTTCAGGAATGTGGTCTCCAAACCTCCAACATGATGTTATCAGACCAAGTGCAGCGAAACATAAAATGGACAAGACGTTGCTGACCAAGCGGGTTCTGTCTCAAGAATGCCAAGCTGTACGTTGTGTTAAATTAACCGTCGTCGAGCGTTTCAGCAGACGGAAGAGAAACCCTCTCATCATCCTCGTAGCTGCAGGAAAAGGGTTTGACAGAATCAACGACGGTCCGTAATGAAACTGTCCACAAACGAGGACCAGAAGTAAGCTGCCTTCCCCATACGCGCCCCTGCAGAACTCCCAGCTGCCGCTCTCACCGGCGAAAGACATGCTGTTTTGTCTCAAAACCAGAACTACGGCGAGGCCGTCTGATCTCCCACTCCCGGTGCTCAGCCTGCCGGAGGGCGGCGTGCAGGTGGAAAGGGGAGAGAGCTCTGCTCACGCCACGCTATGGTGTGTGCGGGAACCCCAGGGCATCTGCTTAATGTTGTAAGAGGAGAAGAGCCGGTGAGACTGTGGGATACACGGTCATTATACCCTAACCTGTCGTATTTCTGCAGGAACTCGGGCAAATTGAAATTAAACCACTTATAATAACACCCCCAAAACATTACATACTTAACTCTGAATCTTCTTTTAAAAAAATACACATGAGACCCGACAGCTGAAAAATACAAAACAGCGATGAAGAAAATGCACGGAGGCCTGATGCGAGGCACGCTCGGGGGCCGGAGCGCTCGGTGACCCAAAGGTGTCCGGTCTCCCTAACCTGGCACGCAGGTCAACGCCAGCCCACTCCATGTCCCGACGGGTTTTATTCTGATCAACAAGCCCGTTCTAAAAATTACAGGAAAAAGCAAAGAAGCTAAAGAAAGTTTTGTCACAGAACACAGTTGGAGGACCCACACTGTGTGACCTCAAGAGGCCCTCAGCAGTAGTCTGGGGAGGGCAGGTGCAGGCTCTGGGGGGCAGGACGGAGCCCCGAGACGGAGCCGCGGCACATCCCATCGGGCTTCCACAAAGCCCCAGACGGAAGATGGTCTTTCAGCGTGGGGCGCTGCAGTGACTGGACGTCCGCTTGCCCAGAAGAAGACTGTCAGTCCATCTCCCACGCCACATCCAGAAACCAACTCCAAGACCACCTCGTCCTGCCGTGAAGCCTACGGCCAGGAAACTTCTAGAAGCCCCTTCTGGCCTGTGAGGCAATGGATCTTTGAAAAGCACAAGCTTCTCAAAAGACACAAGAAGAAAATGGGAGGTGGGTTTCGTCCTATTAACCGCTTTGTGAATGTCCCTGTTAACATGAAAACACGAGCCACGGCCTGGAGAAAAACATCGTAAAACACACGTGTAACGAAAGTCTTGCATCCGAATAAGGAAGAACTCCCAGGGTTCCATACAGGACACAGCGCAATTAAAAACAACAGACAGAAGGTTGGCCAAGACCGTTTCCCGAAAAGGTGTGCAGACAACGAAGGAGCACGGACGAGGCGAGTGCAGTTAAGACAGGAGGTCGCGGGGGCACAAGCTGCCACAGGAGACAGCAGCGCCGCCGCACGATGGCAAACATCTCAGACCCGTCAAGCCCGGTGCTGACGAGGGGCACCGAGCCGCTGGGACGCCCCCGTGTGCAGAGGACGAGTATCGCGGACACTCTAGAGACGTGTGGCCCCTTCTGTAAAGCTGAGCACACACTGACCCGGGACCCAGCACCCCCGCTGGACGGGCGCTCCCCCGGGAGCAGTGGGAACCTGAGTGCGCGGGTCTCTAGCGTCTCGTTCATGATCACCGAAAACCCGACAGAAGCCAGGCGTCCGTCCCCTGGTGCCTGAGCGGTGAGGGGCCACATAGGGAGCCACCAGTCGCCTGAGAAGGTTTTCCGGATAAATGGTTCGCGCCCAACGTTGCCGAGCCTCGAGCGTTAGCGCTCACTGAATGAACCAGATCCGAGGACTGCGCGCCGCGAGCCCATATACCTGACACTCCAGAAAAGCCAAATCAGAAGGGCTGGGCGGCCGACCCCAGAGGGCCATGGAGCAGGGCCGGGCTCTGTTCTCTGCCGGGAGAGGCGGGCCACCTGCAGGGGACTCTGTCTCCGCCAGCCTGACGCTTTGCAGGGAGTGTCGTCGGAGGACGAAGGCGTTCGCGTCTGGCCCCGGTGCGCTCAGGGCACCCGGGCCTCACCTCGGTGCTGCGCCCAGCAGCGGCACCAACGCAGAGCAGGCCTGGCCGCATCACAGGGGTGCCGCGTCGCCAGGATCCACTGCCTCTCTGTGCGCCGGAGCCCACCTCCTCGTTTGTTTCCGCACGACCGGAAAAATCACAGGACGTGTTGGGGTGAGGCTCTGCGTTGTGTCGTCAGAAGGGGCCTCGTCTGTGGGTCTGAGCCTGTACCTCACGTTGGCAGCCTTCCCAGGCACTGTCTCCCCTTTTGCCTTCGGGGCACCCACTGATCCCTGCCCCAGTTGTTCCAGGGCCAGCCCAGACCGGAGGCCCCCGCCCCCGCATCTCTGGGAGGCATCAGGGTGGGAAATGGTTTCCGTGTAGAGGCCAGGAGCTTCTGGGACCGAGGTGTCACGGCCCTAGTCATGCAGACTGCTCCGCGCCCCGCCCGCCCTGCCGCTCCGTCCCCGTGGTTCTTAGCGGACTGTCCACAGACGGTGCCCGCCGCAGTTACAGAGCTGGGTGCAGGTCAGACCATCCTCGATGAGCTCAGCATGCCCGTGGGGGCAGACACAGTGGACACCAGTGGACGCTGCTGCACTGGGAGCACCACGCTCCTGTCAGAAGAGCACAGGGATGTGACAGGGCCCAGGCGGGGGGGGGGGGGGCGCCTGCAGGCTGCGTGGGTCCTGCATGTCCACAGCCTTCTTACCTGTCCTTACTGCCACTGCCTTGTGTCCTTTGGAGCCCCCAGGTCTGTCCCTGGGCCCCCGGTCCTTGGCCTGCACAAGTGGCACCTGGGCCCTGGGGCATGTGCATCCAGGAGCTCCATGCCTGTCCTGCCCGTCCTGCCCAGAGCACCTCTGCGCTTCCGCCGGCACATTCCCACAGAAACCAGAGTCCATGAGAGGCCGGGGTCTCTGCCACCTGGTGCCCTCCATTCCTTTGGGCTGTTCTTGTCACTCGACAGTACTGACCCTCGGTCATTTCTTTTCTAGTAAAAGCTCCAGGTTGTCGCAAACAAAACCAACCATTAGAAACCTGGGCTCTACCCCGTCTGCCCCTGGGGGGTTATTTCCAGACCAAGGAACGAACGTTCTGTGAAGGCTGACACCGTCTCTCCGTGTCGTCTCCATGTTGGGATGTCCCTGCTGTGGCTGTTGCTGTTTTGTTCAGGGTGGGGTTGTGGTTTTTAAGGAAAGGATAGGAGCAGAGCACGGACATGCTGGCCAGAGAGAGCCGCAGGCCCCAGCACGAGGTCGGGCGGTTCGTGTTTGTAACCGGACGGCACGGAGCATTCCTGGCGCGGACGGAGACCTGTGCCGCCGTGCTCGTGTCGCAGCCGCCCCTAGCGGGACCTGGGCTCCTGTCTGCGTGCAGACCGGTCCTTGCACAGCCGTGCCTGCACAGGAGATCATGCGTGTGGCCACGCTCACTGGCTGGCAGCCGGTGGTTTCTCCAGCAGAGGAGACAGACTGTAAACACCGAGTGTGGGCTGTCGGCGCCCGTGCACTCCGTTCTCGCCGACCGCGGGCCGGTCACGGCCGGCTCAGCTCTCGGCTCAGCCGGTGGGGCTGCTTCACTTCTCTCATGTCTCGGGACTTCACAGACCCGGGCTTTGGAGCAGGGAGTCCGAGTCCATCTAGGTTACTTGCCGACGTGTGAGGATTAAGGAAATGCTCCGCTGCGGCACGAGGAGACTGTGGTCCTGGCTTCTTGGCCAGCGGCGGGCCTCTCGCGGACACCACGTGCGCACACGGGCCCTCCTGCTCAAGGAGCGGAGAGCGGGCCGGTTTGTGGAGCCCCTGCTTCGTTCAGGGGACGTGGGCTCAGCGCACGATGCCGTGGCTCGGCCGGGAGAGTGCAGCGTTCTCGGGAGCTCGTGGGAAGCGGAGTGGTTCGGCTCATTCCTGACCACCCCTTGTGGGGTCCACGGGCTCCCCGTGCCGTGTCCAGTCAGGCCCTTCTTTTGCTGCCCTGACGCCCTTTCTGTTAAGCGAGAAGCCCTGGTTCTCCGCATCAGAGAAGGAACGCGGGCAAAGGTCCCAGAGCACATGCCCCTTCTTTTCAGCGCGCTCAGGCCGACGGGCACGTCCCGCAGGATCCCGCTGGTTCCTTCTCCCAGAATCTCCTTGTCCGCTTCAGAAGTGGCTGCCCAGCTGCCCCTGTCAGGCCCTGGGCTCCTAGGAGTAGACAGTGCATGACCCTCCAGGACTGGGGTGTCCCTGAGTCTCCACTGGCATCCACCCTGGCGCTCCGTCAGCCCCCGGACCCTGCGGCCCCGCCGGTCATGCTCTGTACCTCCGGCAGGCAGCGGGTGCTCTGGCCAGACCCGAGAACCCGGACTTTCTTTCGGGCACAGGGTCAGTACTTGGAGACACTGGCAGGCTTGGGTCCAGAGCTCCACAGTAAACGGGTCGGCACATGCGTGTAAAAGTCACATTTGCCCTATGCTCCGTCCGCCGAGCGCACAGCAGCACGGCAGCTAAAGCCGCGTGTAGACGAGTGGACAGACCGCTCGCGGCTAAGGGAGGCCGGCGGGCCCCTGGGCTTTCTGAGTCACAGTCCCTGACCCCAGACCCCGGAACAAGCGCACTGACAGCGAACAGTGTGAGGTGCCGTGAGTCACCCAAGCGTGACCAGGGACCCGGCGGGAGCGGGGGCTGCTGGGAAGGCGGTACCCACGGGCGAGCGGGGCGCAGGGTGGCCGCAGACCTCCCGTTAGGCACAGGCGCAGCGTCTGTGAGGCGCACTGACACACGGCGCTGTAGCCGTTCCCGCCGAGGCTCACGCTGTGTTTTTGTTGTTGAAGATCCCGGAGGAGCACGACCTGGAGAGTCAGGTCCGCAAGGAGCGTGAGTGGCGGTTTCTCCGCAACACGCGGGTCAGACAGCAGGCGCGGCAGCTCATCCAGAAGGGTAAGCCGCCGGACTCGCGGGGGGGGTCTCCGAGGGCCCTCGGTGACGCAGGCGCCCGCTCGCCGTGGTGCGGGGTGCAGACAGGGTCCTGAGGCTGGGGGTGCGCCCTGGGCCCCAGGACCCCCGAGTGCCCTCTGCCCTTCTCCCCCAGGGAAGCCCCGGCTGGCTGGTGGCCTCTCACCGGCACGTGGCTGGGGTTTTGCCATTTCCAGAGGGGAAGGAGTGAGCGCCCCACCCCCAGCCCTGTGCTCTCTCTGGGGACACAAGACAGGCACGAGGCCCTGGTTGTGTCCAGCTGGTCCCCACCTGTCCCCGGGACAATCGCTTCCTGTCAACCAAAGCTGCACTTGGGCCAGTTTCCAAACCTGTGACCAGATTTGCCGAGACATGCCAGACTGCCCCTGTGCGTGCCCCCAGCCTCACTCGCGTGGAGGCGGCCTCAGAGGGGCTGCGGGCAGGGCTGGGCCACACGCCCAGGGCCTCCATCACGCGGTGGGGTCAGGGACAGGGATGCCAGACAGCCTCTCCCCTCCCTCTCTTTCCAGGGATGGGCCGCCATAAGGGCCCAGCCCCTGTGGCTGACTCAGTCCCGCGGTCCTGGGTGCACAGAGACGGGTGCGATCACATCTCCGGGGGAGCCAGACGGTGGACTGACACTGCCCGGCCCCTGCACAGAGCAGGAAGTCACGGGCTCTCGGCCATTCTGCTGATGGACTGTTTTGACCTTGCCTCTCTGTCCTCTACAGTTGTGACGATTTTCAAGTTGGGGCTAAGGGCCCATGAAGCAGGCTGTCCCTGCAGACACGCGGGGCTGGGCAGCCACGGCCGGCACGCCCCGTGCCCCTGAGCACACAGGCGCCGACGCTAGAGGCCACTAACGTGCCCTGCCGGCCGTGTTGCGCGCTCCCCGCAAACTGCCTTGGGGCCGTGTTTCGTTAGTGTGTGTAGTTACTTCTGCCGAAAACTAATCTCGGCTACTCATAACTCCGTGCCTCTGTGCGGGGCTGCTGGCAGCTCTAGTGTCCCGGAATTCGGTGTCTGCTGCCCCTGCAGTCACCACGTGAACACGTGGCCAGGGCCTGCTGCAGCCATGGCTGCCTTCTCCGGGAGAGAGCCGGCCGGAGCCGGGGGTGGACGGAGCTGGGGGCTCTAGAAGCAGCTGGCTCTCCAGACAAAACAAGTGACTCCTCGTAAACCATAGTCAGGAGTTCTCTTTTCCGGTCTTTGTGGGAAGAAGATCCCTCCTTGTTAGAACACAGTAAGGGCAGCGCCTGACGCCACTGCTGGAGACGTCAGCTGGTGGGACTTGGAGATGGAGCAGTCTGTGCGGTGGCCCCAGCCACCAGAGACAGGGATGCTGGTGACACCACGGTCCCCCTCTGCACTCCGCGTGCAGCGTTCTGTCTGAGAGCCGCTGTGCACCCAGGAGGGACGGGAAGGGGCCTGTAGGTCAGCCAGGTGACCTGTGCCCAGCGTCACCCCAGCCACCTTGGCGAGCAGAACCCGTGTTGTCACGTATGCACGGTGCACCCTAACCTCGGACCCAGGTGTCCCCAGCGTCTCCCAGTAGCCCACAGTCTAGACCTCGCCACAGAAACCCACGGCCCGGGGTGAGGGCCACTCCGGGGAAGAGCGTGTCGCTGCTGCGGGCACAGCCTCTGGGGCCTCTTTGCCGTTGTCACACTGCCCTCAACCTTGTCAGGTGGTTCCTAGTGTTTGCTGTTGTAATGCGGGGGAGGCCAGCACGGGCCAGCGCCAGCACACTCCAGGGTACTGGGGGCAGCTGGCGCCCGAGGCCACCACGTCATGGGGTGCCAGATTAGCCGCGTATCCACTGGCCACCGGAGGCGCATCTGAGCCTGCCTTGACCTTGGCTTTTTTTAGCCTCTTCTGACTGTTTCTCTAAAACAGGCTCCTTCGAAGCCCCAGGGGCTCCTTCCCCGGGGCTGGCGTGTGGGGCCCATTCGGTTCCCCTGTGATCTGTGGTGATTCAGGGCCCCCCTCCCAAGGGCTGAGGGGCCCCCAGGCTTGGCTGCGCGCGTGCCTGAGGCTGCCACCCGGGGCTAAGCCAGAAGCCGCTGCCCTTGGCTTTCTTCACTGGCCCAGGCCCGTCGCGCTGCTCTGAGCTCGGCTCGGAAGTCCTTGCACGTGCAAGTTGACAAGCGCCGACCGAGAACTCGCCGTGTGTCTGCCTCGCTCTGGGGGCTGTGGGGGAACCCTTTGGTGGTCGAGGAGCTAGACCCTCGTCCGACCCCCTGCTTGGCCTGTGTGTCCCCGGCAGCCTCCTGGGTCCCCGGACAGGAGACGCGGCCTCGGCCCCAGTGGCGTGACGTTGGCTCGGGCGCCGGACGCTGAGGCCCGTCGCTGTGTCTCTTCGAGCAGGTATTGCAAAACTGGACGACCAGATCTTTCTGAACAGGAACCCCGGCGTCCCCTCCGTGGTCAAGTTCCACCCCTTTACGCCGTGTGTGGCCGTGGCTGACAAAGACAGCATCTGGTAGGCAGGGTGCCCACGACGGCCACAAGCCCTCTGGGGGGCAGATGGGGCCGGGCTCGGGAACACGCAGAGGAATGGGCGGGTGGGGATGGGCACTCCAGTGTCACGGGCTCCCCAAAACCACACTGAGCCGGAGACGCACCTACAAGGGCCTCAGTCCTGCTACCTCCTGTGGGGCGCGTAGACACCGACTTTAACTCAAAGTAGACCTCGCCCTGTTGCCGTGGAGAACATACCCGCATCGCGGGGGACGACGTCTGGGGTGTTCTCACCTCTGTTCCTCCTCTTTGCTTCATCCTGCAAAATGCACAGAAATTCAGCGCCGTAACCGTGTGTAAGCGCGCTGTTCGGGGGCACCAGGCGCATTCACAAGGCCACGTAGCTGCCACCATCCGCCTCCAGATCTCTCTCTGTCCTGTAAAACTGAAGCTGTCCCCATTGGTCCCTAAGTCCGCCTTCCGCTCCCTGGCACCAGCCATCCGCTGTCTGTTCCGAGTTTGAGGCCCCAGCGACCTCACCTGCCCTGTGTGTCCGGCCCCTCCCACTGAGCACAGGGCCCTCGAGGTCTGTGGCAGGTGTCATAATGTCCCCCTTGCGCAGGCCAGGTGACAGCCCGTGTGTGGACAGACCATGCTTTATCATCCATCCAGCAATGGACACGTGGGTCATTTCCACATTTGTTTTTTCAATATGTTCATATGGTCAGGCTCTGCTTTTATTTTGTAAAACATATGTCCAGTTTTAACTTAGAAGAAGGCAAAACATAAAACAGAACGAAGTCTGCCTTGATGATATATCGGGTTTGATTTTGTTAGAAAAGGAAGTGGATGTAAATCACAGTGGCAGAGTCTTAGAGATCTGCCCCCGAGTGGCTTCTACCCGATACCAGAGGACCTCACTTTTATCTCGGATTCGGGTCTGCTCTGAAACACACATCTCTTTCTTTATATTTTTAACAGGTCTTTTTTTTTTTTTTTTAAGATTTTATTTATTTATTTGGCAGACAGAGATCACAAGCAGGCAGAGAGGCAGACAGAGAGAGAGGAGGAAGCAGGCTCCCTGCTGAGCAGAGAGCCCGATGCGGGGCTCGATCCCAGGACCCTGGGATCATGACCTGAGCCGAAGGCAGAGGCTTTAACCCACTGAGCCCCCAGGCGCCCCAACAGCTCCCTTTAAAGTAGCGAATCTTCATTAAGGCTTCTGCGGGCGAGTGAAATTAGGACCGTGATATGCGATGTTGTTCATTTGCTCGGGGTCTCCCAGACACATGTGCTCTTTTGCTTTGTACCTGTGTCATTATCACGGTCGTCCCCCCATTGGTGGCTTGAACGTGGGCGGACGGATGTCTCAGCACACCCAGCAGTGGGACTCCGGGCCCCGTGGCCCCCCCTGTGACGGACCCCCTGGACACACAGGCCGCTTGTCCACGTCCTGCCAGAGCTCGTGGCCCTCCGTGAGAGTGGCCGCCCTGGCAGGCGTGAGGGGGGAATCGCCCTGTGGCTTCGGTTTGCCTTTCCCTGACGACTGGTCTTCTCTCCTTCCCTGAAGTTTCTGGGACTGGGAGAAAGGGGAGAAGCTGGACTACTTCCACAACGGGAACCCTCGGTACACCAGGGTCACGGCCATGGAGTACCTGAACGGCCAGGACTGCTCGCTGCTGCTCACGGCCACGGGTGAGTGTGGTGTGCGGGGCCGGGCCCCGGGCCCCAAACCCAGCGTGGGGACCCCGCACGTCTTCACGCACAGCCTTTTCTGACCCTGAGCGTTGCTCTGGCAGAGGGCCCCGCCTGCGGTGAAACGCACCATCACGGAAGAGGTGGGAGGTTTCCGACAAAGCAGGCTTCACCCCCAGACAACAGGGCCAGCAGGTGACCAGTGCCCGGCAGTGTCCAGGGACCCCCGGCCCTCCCCTGACCAGGAAGGGCCCCGTCAGCCTCTTCTTGTGGCCTCTACGATGCTCTTGGAGACGAGGCTGAAGGGAGAAGGGGTCCCAAGCACAGAGCATGAGGGTAGCAGGCGCCGCCTCGGCTCCCCAGGGGTCTCTGGCCCTCCCAACTGCGCCACCGTGCGTCCGGCTCCCCTGTGGGCCAGGCTCCTGCCTCCTGGCGGGCCGCTGCCGGTGCTGGGCCTCACCCTTGCTTTCTGGGTCTGGAATGTCTCCACTTCACCCCTCCCTGCCACAGGCTTCCCAGTGAGCCACCCCGGGGGACAGCGTCTCCTTTAGCCATTTGAAGACAAGACCTCACTGTCTGTGGGGGGTGAGACGTCACCACCGGCCTAACTGCACCTCCTTCGGGGATGACAGGCCCTGGGGTGGGACTGGCGGGAAGGGAGAATGGGGACGCACGAGGCAAGAAGAAGAGGGCAAAGGTGGACGTGCAGGCTGCTCCCGCGTTGCCTGCCCCGCCCCATCCTGTCCTGGGCATGGTCCCATCATGGCCTGCCCTGGCCCGTCCTATCCTGGGCGTGTCCCTGGCCTGTGTTGGGCCTGAGCTCCTGAGCCACCAGCATGGTCAAGCGGACTGCACTGGGCGGGCTGCCTCCCCCCTCAGAGCATTCCTGGGCCCTGCTGTGTCCATGGGGAAAGGTCCCGCCGGTGGCCTCTCTCCCAGGCAGCGCCCGCTCAGGACCAGATGAAGTCAAGCCACAGCAGTTGCTTCCACTGCAGGTGTGAGAGTGAAGGAGCGGCCGGGCACCCGGGGCAGTGGGGGGCCAGGACGGCTCCGCGGACGGTAGGACAGGTCACACTGAGCACCTCTGAGCGCCAGGGAGGTGGGGAGAGAGTGATTTCCTGGCCCAGCGGGCGCAGGAGCGGGTCCCCAGGGGCTTGTGCTGGAGGAGCACAAGGGCTTGGGGTTCAGACCAGGAAAAGTTCACAGTCACAGAGGCCAGGGGCAGGACGGGTGTCAGCGGGCCCAAGTGACCTCGTCCTCCGTCTGTGCTGTGAGGCAAGTGGTCATAGCCCAGGTTGGGGGGCGCCGAAGGCCACACGTGAGGGCTAGCACGTCCGAGAGCAGGGCTGGGCTGGGCTGTGAGCACCGCGGGGGGTGGACACGGGACGAGGCCGCTCCTCACGCTGCTCAGGCTCACAGGAGAGCACGAGGGCTCTGTGCTGAGGGTCATGGGGGGCGGGTGGGAGGCGGCCAGCCCACCTCCTCGTGTGGGGAGCCTGTGGGCCACATACTGAGGGCCCACCTGTGTGGAGCAGACAGGAAGGGGTGCCACGGAAGGCCTGGCTTTCTGCCGAGAACATCACTGGAGGGAAGGGGGGCTGCCTGGGCTCAGAGGTCGAGGGTAGTGGTCCCTCAGCGCCCCTGCTGCGGCTTCCCCCGCGGCCCAGATGGGAGGATGCCCGGGAGGAGACGGTCCTCCCAGGAACAGCCCCGCTGCTGCTACACTGGGCCGCCTCACAGAGACCGCGTGGTCTCCTGTCTCGTGGCACGGCACCTGTCACCCAGGGGGCTCCTCCACGCGCCCCCGCAGCCAGGCCTGTGTTCTCACCTCCTGCCCTTCTCTCCCCAAGATGACGGCGCCATCAGAGTGTGGAAGAACTTCGCGGATTTGGAGAAGAACCCAGAGATGGTGACTGCTTGGCAGGGGCTCTCAGACATGTTGCCGACAACCAGAGGTGGGTCCTCCCGGGGGCTCAGCCGCCACATCCCCCTTGGGGGCCCCCCCCAGGCCACCTTCCATAAGCCCGCTGGCCTCCTCGCCCCCGTGGCCATGGCCCGCCTGAGGCGCACCCCTGCCCCGCCTCCCCGTTGGGGCGGCCCGTGGCTGGGAGAGGACCTGCGCTCTGTGCTTCGTTCCACGGGGACTCCCTGAGGGCAGGACAGTGCCCCGCAGGTGGGCGTGCTGGTCAGTGGTGAAGGCCGAGGACGCTGGCCCTGCCCGCACGGGGCCCACAGAGGGTCTCTGGGAGCTGAGCTGAGCGGGCGTGGCCGCGGCGCGGTTGACCGGCTCTGTGTGCTGCCCGTGGGGTGGGTCCACAGGCCGCCCCGCAGGCCGGTGGTCCGGGGGCTGGAGCGGGACCTGGACCGGCGGCTCGTCTCCTCCGAGGGCCCGCTGTGCTGCCACTGCATGTTGGCGGTGTGTCCGGTCTTGGTTCCCAAGAAGCCCGGCTGTGGGGATCGGGGTCCTTGTCACTAAATGGACAGGGAAAGCGACTCCGTCCTCCTGCCTCTGCGTGGCCGGCCTGGCCTTGCCGCGACTTTGTGCACTTCCCACATGGCCCCGTCTGTGTCCTGTCGTCGCATGGCTGTGCTCGTCATAGCCAGTCATCTCCGTGGCTCCTGCTCTTCCCTCCGTCCCAGCACCTGTCCCGAGGAGTCACTGCCCCTGGGAGGTGACCTCACACGGGAAAGGTCCCCAACCCCAGCGCGGGCGGCTCCGGGCAGAAAGCTCTGTGTGGGCTGCTTTAGAATGTCGCTGTTTTTAAATTATCTTTGGAATAAAACAGTCATCCACATCTGTCCCCCACCCCTCCTGAGGCCCCAGCATGGCCACCTCCGTGTGGCCTGGGCCCCTTCAGGCCAGGTCCCATGATGAAGCGACAATCACCATGTCCTTCCACTGTGGTCTCAGTGTTCCCGGATTAGAGCAAAGGCTTGTCTCCCCCGCGGACCCCATTGCCCCCCACGTGCTGGCAGCTCTGCCATCCCATGATGCCCCGTGGCACCCGACCCTGGCCCGGGCACTCGTGCTCGCAGCTTGCTCTGCTGGCGCTGACCCCGAAGACGAGGTTTCTGGTCCTTCACTTCCCACTGCCGTCCGGCAGGTGACACACCCCAGGCCCCCGCCACCCCTCCAGCCCCTGCACACAGAGCCAGAGACCCCTGTGTGGACGTGGCAGGGGCTCAGGGCCAGGCCAGAGGACGGGAGAGCGGGAGCCCTCCGACTGCTTGGGGTACATTGTTTCCCAATTCATTTTGCAACCGCCACCTCTCTGCCCCCAAACGATGTGGGTGTGGTTTCCAGACACCAAGAACTGTCTTACCCACGACGCCGTTTCCTTTGCTTCAGCCAAGGTGAGGGACGCCAGGGAGCATGGCTCACGGGTGTGGTGGGGGGTCTAACTGGGAGCAGAGGAAGCAGGGCCGAGGGGACGATCTGGGTCCGAGGCGTCCCTGAACTTATTCCTGCCCGTCAGGAAACCCCACGTGTCACTTGGGGTGCGGAGAGCCACTCCTGGCCCCAGGCTGTCCACCGCAGGCCTGACTTGCTAGTGGGTTCCACAGGTGTCCACATGCATGTCCTACTGGTCCCGCCCCCTCCCCCGGGTTTTCAGAAATCTCCCCAGGAGAGGCAGAGTTGGGAAGGGGCCAGGAGCAGCAGACGAGGGTCTCGCCTCCCGGTCTTTATCAGTAAGTCGGGGGAGGGGCCTGGGGGGCGCCCCGATTCTCCGCGGCTACAGAGCCACGGTTTGGTCCTGTCCTCTGCCTTGTAGCCAGGCAGCCATGGGCTTAGCAAATGGTTATTTCCTTTGCTCTTTCTGAGACACTGGAAGGATGAGAGGGGCGGGAAGCCCAGGGGGACAGCTGCTCTACAGGTCAGGACAGGACGGGCCCAGGTGCTCCTGGCCGCAGCCACCCCGACTGGGACGCCCGTCTTGGGATCTAAGCTCTGTAGCCAAGAGTCACGTCTGCTGGCATTCCGGCCCTCGTGCCAACCACTAGTCACCTTGTGCCTGTCAGCCGCTGGCTTCCTTCCCCTGCCCGGCCCGAACCCAGTCCTGGCCTCTGACACGACAGCTAGCCGAGGTCTGGGCTACAACCCTAGGGAGACACATAAAGAGACACGGAGCGAGGCCACCACGAGCCACTCCATGGCCGCTGCTCTTCAACGTCTGGGGCACGCGCCGCAGCGCGAGGCAGGACCCTTCTGAGTGCTGGCCGTGGCCTGGGGGACCTACCCCGCTCCAGGTCACCACGCAGGTGCTCGAAGCCACCCACCGCACACGGGGCTCCAGCCGGGCCTGCAAGCTGTCTGCAGAGACACGCCGGCCTACTGCATCCACCAGCCATGAGACGCGTGCCCGGGAACGTCCTCGGAGAACGCCCGCGCCCCCAGGGAACTCGGGGAGACCAGGCGGCTGGAGCGCCGCCAGCTGGGAAGGCCCTCACTCCACGGCCGAATCCGCTCTGACCGCTCGCTGGAGGTCGGAATCCGCGGTCTGTGAGGAGGAGGCGCCGTTTCTCACGGGAGGCAGGTGAACCGGGAGCAGGGTCCGTGTGCCCTCGGCCTGTGGTCCCTCTGGCTGACGTGTGCACACACGCACACGCTTGGGCGCACACACGTGCACACAGACACCCACCCGCGTGCGCATGTCCTGAGGTAGAACCAGGTGGGTCCCCTCAGTGCTCCTCCGCCCCCGTCCCCCTGCTGGTGGAGCTGCTGGGCAGCTCCTGCCACTGGCCACACTGGCCCCGTGCCCTTCTGGTCCCCTGAGCCGCCCGAGCCGAGGGCGCCTTCGCCCTCGGAAGCCCCCGGGGCCAGCCGCAGTGGACTTCACGGCGGCACTAACAAGCGCTCGGGCACTTGGAAGTTCTCGTGGCACAGGTGGCTGGGTTTCACGATGTGCCAGAGCCCCTTCCGATTCCCAAAACCCTGGTAATTGAGTTTCCTCATCTGTCAGGTCCATTTTGGGCGAGGTCAGCCCCTGCGGTTGGGACCGTGGCACCCTGTGGCCTGGGCTGCCCCCACCTGCCCCCTCCCCTGCTTCTTTCGACTTGAGTGTTCTTCCTGCCCTTTGGGGTTGCGTGACTGTTAACTAGCCCCATGTGAAACCTGTGATCCCTGTGTCCGCGGAGGTCTGGCCGGAGAGGCCTCAGTGTGTCTCGGCCGCCGTAAGCAGGGATAGGACTGTCTTCTCTCTTCCCTGAGACTGCCCTGGCGGCGGTGGGATCCCGCCTGGCCTCTCTCCTGAACTGCTGGCTTTTGTTCTCACGCCCATGGAGTTCTTTGGGGCCATCAGACGGTTAGGGCTGTGACTTTGCATATCTGTCCCATGCACACCGTCCCCTCCCGTCTAAAAGAGCACCAGCCAGCGGGCGTGCAGAGGTTACAGGACAAGTCAGGTAGCTGTGGAAAGCCCTGGGAAGAAGTTGGAAGGAAAGCCGTTGAGAGGAAGCTCCCTTGGGCCTGAGGCCTCGTGGTTGCACCTCCTGGGCCCCTTCATCCCAAACATGGGGACTTGCGTCCCGCTGGCTTGGGACCTTATCCCTCCCCTCTGCTGCGCTGCCTTCCTGGGGGCTCCTGCAGCTTTCAAGGACGGTGCTCTTCAGACTGCGGCGCTGGGCCGGCCTCGGTCAGGACGGAGGATGACCTGACAGCACCCCCTGGAGGCAGGGTATGGCCACTACCGCCTCCGGGACCCCCGGACGCATTGGACGGCCCAGCTCTGCAGGCCGGACACCAGGAAGAGCATTTCGATTTCATGAAAGCAGAGAAGTCATTCCAGATCGAGATTGGTTTTTCCGCCTAAACTTTTGAACAATCATTTTTTTCAGAATTTAATCAGAACTTTCTTAAAGCATCTGTCTCCACCTGAAAAACCCATATATAAGGTTCAGAGCCAGTGGAACTCCCACACGTGGCTGGCCGTGGACACAGAGCTGTCGAGCCGGGTTAGCAAACGGAAAACCTGAACGATCCCAACTGACTGTCACTTTTCTCTCGTAATGTCCACCTGTGGGTACCTCATGAAGAAACGGGGCTCGCAGACCCAGACGCACATGTGACCCTGACCTGTGACTCACGGGGTCAGGTCTAAGCGCGGAGAGCCTTTGTCCTGGCCTGTGTCTCACAGCCCTTTGCAGGAGCTGGTGGCGTTCTCCGCAGGGGGGCAGACGAGGACGTGGGTCTAGGGGCCCCTGAGCCGCCACAGCAAGGGGTTGAGGAGCTGAGAACGAAAAGGGCCGTCAGATCTCAGACTCACGGTTCAGTGTCTTGTGAACCATTCTGGGAGCTCATTGTCTGCGTGAAGGCTCCGGAGAGGAAGCACCAGACGACAGGAGACAGGCTTCTGCTCTTCCAGAAGGAGAAACGACAGGGTCACCGTCTCTGGAAACCTAGAGAAAAGCCAGAGGACCACCTTCCACAGATGGAGCTGGGGAAGGCAAGAGGCTGGACGGCGCCTGGTTTAGCCGTTTCAGCTGCTTCGTTGGGGTTGCTGCTGTGGACAGAACCCGGGACGGGACAAGGCTGGGGCCCTTCTGCACCTCAGCACCCCCGAGAGCCAAGACCACATCGTCCCACCGGGAGCGTGTGAACAGCGACATCAGCCTTGGGCCTTTGGTGTTAAGATTCATCAGCTGGGAGCAGCTCGGAAGCCGGCTGAGGGCCACGGGAGAGCCATGATGGCCCCAGCAGAGGCGCCTTGAGCCGGGCACTCCTGGAGCCGCTGCCCAGCCTGTGCTCGGTGTGTGCCAGAGCAGGAGCTGATGGCGGCTCCAGTTCCTCCAGCAGCGCAGCGGATCTAGAATCCGGAGTGGGCGGGACACAGACGGGAGCCCCGCGGTGCAGGCCTTCACGGGGCCGGACGCCACAGGGAGGCTCAGCAAGAGAGAATGGGGACACCTGGCCACAGGCCTGCGGTTCTCCCCTGCGCCAGGGGACAGGCCCCTCCGTCTCAGAGTTCCAGAACTACAGCTCCCCTGGGTCTGCCTCAGGTTGGGGGCGGCAGGTCCCCAGGTTCAGTCCTCGGCGGGCGGTCTGGACTGGCCACGGTGTTATAGGGATCCAGACTGTTAATGCGTTTGTCCGTTTCCACCGTTTACTGGGCTGGGATGCTCTGGGGACTCAGAGCCGCACGTTCCAGGTACCGTAACCCGTCTCTGCCGCACGGATCTACGTCGTAAGGAAGAAGTCCCCTCTGGCCAGGTTCCGGATTGGGTGGTGCGTCCGGGGCCTGGACCCAGGGTAAAGTCAGGCAAGATTAGGGGTCTGCATTTTGGGGAAGTGCCCACCCCGCCCCACCGTGGGTGGGGGGGGTCAACCATCCCAGGAACGTGGAAGGTGGTCATGTGTGCTCTGGGGTATTGTACTTTGCTGGGCTGGCTTGAGTCCTCAGCTTTTTTTTTTTTTTTAAAGATTTTATTTATTTACTTGACAGACAGAGATCACAAGTAGGCAGAGAAGCAGGCAGAGAGAGGGGCGGAAGCAGGCTCCCCGCCGAGCAGAGAGCCCGATGCGGGGCTCGATCCCAGAACCCTGAGATCATGACCTGAGCCGAAGGCAGAGGCTTTAACTCACTGAGCCACCCAGGCGCCCCAAGTCCTCAGCTTTTTAAAAAACCTCCCTGAGGCTGTACGCAGAGCTGGCACAGGGTGGCCTGCAGCACAGACACCCCCGGCCATACACAGAGCCTGCATCAGCCCCGGTGGGGACACACCCCACCAGCTGGCCAAGAGACCCTGGGGCCCGAGGGGATGACCTCTGCCTGTTGGTTGAGGGTTCCTAGACCCTCGTGTAGAAGCATCCCGTGCAGAAGACTCTGGGGCTTGAGCTCTCCCGTCCATGCCCGCTGTGGCCTCATCTGGAGCAGGACCACCACGTGCCTGTGTTCCAGATCAGGAAACCAGCGTTGATGAGGGACAGCGCCTTCCTGGCACCGGAGGCTCCACGTCCAGAGCTGTCCCTCTGTGAGGTGTGTCTCAGGGTCACAGGGTCAGAGAATATGGCTCTCACCACATTTCAGGCCCTTGTGCGTCCTATCTGGGGTCCCGTTCTTCTGTCCCCGCAAGCGTCTGTGTCCCTAGACCGGTGCACGGGACACAGGAGGATGCAGCCGGCCGCAATACGCAGTACACGGATGGCTTTCCGGTCCTCCGACCGCAGCACTTGCTACTTTCAGCCAGAACGGGCTCGGCGTCCCAGAGTCTGGAGCTCACAAGGAGCCAGAGCTCGCGCGCACTTTGCTCCCGCTGCTCACGGTGGAAGCAGACACGCTCCCAGAGGCGCTGCACCCGATGGAGGCACCGAGGCCTGGGGTGCCCACACCCAGCTCCCTGTGCCTGAGAGCGTCCTCAGAGCAGTGATGAAGTCAGAACAAGAGCGTCAGAGCCGGCCCTGGCCCGGGCAGGCTCCCGTGAGGAAAGCGCTGCAGGAAGGAGGCTGCCCCCCACCTCTTCACTCGGGCCTGGGTTGGCCGCCCAGAGCAAACCGGAGCAGGCCCGCATGGCTCACCCCCGGCGCAGGGCCACTGCGTAACCTCTCCACTTATCCCCGTGACCCCAGACTATGGGACCGAGACATGGACACCATCATCCAGATGCCCTCTGGCCTCCACGCTCACTGACTGCCCGCCTCCTAAGTCCCCGGCAGGGCTGACGCTGACACCAGGCGGCCAGCCAGGGATGGCTGAACACATAGGCGGTGTGCTGTCTGCCGCGGCGGCCGCCCCATGCGTCCACACCTCCGGGGGCCCACATGCTCTAAGGCCACGTGGACGATACACACGTCCCCGTCCGGAGAGAGCCTTGTCAGCAGCCTGTCCCAGCTCTGTCACTGGGACAGGCTGGGAGCCCTGGCACCCGTGCTCCCATCCGCTGCTCCCCCAAGGCCACGGCCTACAGGCTGACGTCTGGGGTCTGTGGTCTGACCACAGCACTTTGGACTTGGGAATTCGCCTGTTCTTTAAAAGACCCTCACGGAGTCTGTACCAAGCAGATGACTTGGAGTTTTACACGTTCAAAGAACGCTCCTTCAGGCTGGAGCCACTGCAGGAAACCTGGGCCTCACCTTGACCTGGGGCCGGAGGACGTGTAGGTTTTCCCGAGGCCAGCTGGACACAGACCGGCGGACGTAACTACCCCCATGTGACCAACTCGTGCCTGTCCAGCTTCATTGTTTTCCTGGGTCACACCTGACCTTTCAGTCCCATTTAGACTTGGGTCTTTGGGGCCTTGAACAAACTTCCATTTGAGCCCGGTGTGTCCCCATGGTGGAGGCTTGTCCGTCTCCCACATACGAGGCTGTGTGCCGCCCGGCTATGTGCGTGTCCCTGCCCCGTGGTGCCAGGCCGTCCATCCCTCGTCCCGTCTGCTTGCTTCTCTGCTGCGTCAGCGGCTCCAGACAGAGCCTCACAGAGGATGGGGTCTGTCTCCCTCCATAGCCCATGGAGGGAGTGGCCCCTGGGACACCGGCTGGGGCAGCTGCCCGGGCATCCCAGCAGGGCCGGCCCAGGACCACTCTCGGAGTCCCTCGGCTGGTTCCCCAAGGGCTGCCACTTTGAGTGATGCTGTGGGCCACCTGCCTGCCACTGCTCTAGGGTCCTGACTCTAGAGGTGACGTGCTGAGGGGCCCAGGATTGACAGGAGCCACCAAAGGGCCCAGGTCAGAAGTTGTGCTCTCTGTCCTCAATGTTAGCAAATACGTCAAGCCCTGGGAAACATGGGGTCGGGAACAGGGGGGCTTCAGACACTCCTTACCCCGGGATGGGGGCCCTCAGCACCCACCCGCCTCCCTCCCTCCTGGGTCAAAGAGCTTCCTGCACAGTCACCCCCCACATTGTGAACACCCCGCCCCGTCTTGTCTGCCCATCCCCACCGCTGGCCATGTCTGCACGCTCGGTGTGGCCCCCTGGCGTGGGGGGGGGGTCGTGTCCTGGCACAGAGCGGCCAGTAGGGACAGCCCCAGGGGCCCTGTGTCCACATCCAGGAGGTGACTATTTGGTCAAGAAGACCCCACCCATTTGCATGAGAATATTCCAGAACATTCTCATACACCAGAAGGAAACCCTGTGCCCACGGGTTCAGTGTCTCCCTGCAGAGGAAGACTTCCACAGCTGGGCCGAGTTGTCCACACTTAGATGTCTCTCCAGGGCCCAGCATTGCTCGTGGGGGCACCTAGAGGATAGCCTGGGGTTTGGAAGGGAGATTGGGGCCTGGAGGGAGATCCATCACCCAAAAAGAACAAAGTAGAAGAGAACAAGGCGTTATGGGGTCTGGCCTGAGAGGCCTGGAGAACAGGGTGCCCAGGGCCGCAGGGGCCGCAGAGCAGCAGAAATGAGCTTGACAAGTGTGACCAAAGAAACATACAAATGAGGTCATCACATAAGTGACAGAACAGGAGAGATCTTGGTGGCACAGTGCAGGTCACAGTACATGCGTCTGTGGAGGAAGAAGAGGGAACACCAGTGGCCGCGGGGTCTGCGGGAGCCCACCGTGGGGGTCTCTGCCGCGGCTGCAGGTGCGGCCTTGCCTGGGGACCCTGACCACCCCCGCAAGTGCACACAGGCCTCGAGAAGACGTTGCCACTCCAGCCACGGTGTGTGGAGTCAGGAAATGGATAAATGCTAAGTGGTCCACTGGACCCCAGCCTGTGGGGCAGGAGGAGTCGGCACGGTGTGGCCTGGAAGGGGAACGCGGGTTCCTAGAAAACACGCCCCGTATAAAATTGGTGGCATCGGCGGAAACCATCCTGGTGCGTGGACGGGTGCCTGGGTGGGGGACGCACACAGCCCGGCGTGGGAAGGTGTCCGCGGCCTGGGGACGGTCCAGCCGGGATCAGAGCAGGCAAGTAAGGCTTTCACTGGTCTGAAGTCTTGCTTCCTTTCAGAAGTACGAAAGGAGGGAAGTGCCAGCTGCTGATCTCGGTGGTGGGTGCAGGACCTCTCCTGGATATCTAAAGCGTAGACTGGCTTGACTAGACCGTCCGTGAGGTTGTCATGCCACCTTTAGGAACGCTGCAGTCACCCCACGCGGCCCTGGCGTGGGCCTCATGCCCGGCGGGCTCTCCTCGGCCTCTGCAGAGCTCCTGTGCAGCCCCGAGAAACTGCGTGCTCAAGCCTTGCCATGGCCGAGAACAGTGCCGCCGTGGCCGCTGTGAAGTTGTACAGCTGCCCACTGTGCGCAGGACGACGGGCATTTTGAACCGACAGTCCTAGGACGGTGCTGTCCCAGCAGCAGATATCTGGGCGGGGCGGGGATCCAGGGACCCCAGACTGCCAACCTGGAGCTCCCGTGGGGTTGGGGACCGGGCTGTGGCTGGGGTGGCGAGGCACTCCATGGTGCTGAGTGGCTGCCTGGGACAGGGTCCCGAGTTGACGGCGGAATGGTCTGTGTCTGTCCAGGAGCCGGGATGGTGGTGGACTGGGAGCAGGAGACCGGCCTCCTCATGAGCTCAGGGGACGTACGGATCGTCCGGATCTGGGACACGGACCGGGAGATGAAGGTGCAGGTAACCGCAGCCCCCGCCCGGCCTCCCAGCTCTGCTGCCCCCCCAGACAGGCCCCTGTCCCGGAGAAGTGAGAGTGGGGGTTGTGGGCCTTCACGCCGTCAGGCGCTAATTACCTCTCACGGCCCATTTATCGCGACACTTTGACCCTGTATCACAGCATGATTAAGCCTATGCAAATCCTAATTGCTTCCAAAAGTATTTTGCCCATGCAAATTAGGGACTATCAGGAAGCAGCAGAGTGAACACATTTTAAATTGGAATGGTGAATTATTTGCGCGCTTCTTAAAGCATCTTTTATTTCCAGTTTTAATCAGCAGAGCAAGGACAGAATTGGTTTTGACAGAGGCATCCTGGAAGGGGTCGTAGGGCTGCAGACAGCTGGGGACCACCGAGCTTTTGGGTGGTGGTGCTGGCTGTGGCTTGAGGCCCAGGAGCTCCGCCCTCCTGGCCTCCTGGCCCGGCCCTGGGCCTCCCGCCAAGCCCCCAGTCACACAGGCACCCAGCGGAGGACGGGCCCAGGTCAAACTGGAAGGGCTGGGGATGGGGAGCCGACGTGAGGCCGGGACACAGTTGTCTGAGCTGCCACAGCCCGAGCAGAGGCGACCTCCCTCTGCCCTGTGCTCAGGTCCTGCAACGGCACAGTCAGCCTTTGTCACGCATCTGGGGCCCGGAGATGGCCAGTCCCTGCCGCCCTCCAGTGCAGTGTAGACACCTGATGCCGGCAGCCCCTACGCAGGAGCCCGTCCCCTGGCTCTTGTCTTCAGCTCGGCTGCCCGGGGGTCATCCCTGGCCCCTGGCCCCCGGCCCCCTTCAAGCCTCGGAGCAGGCTGTGTGTCCAGAGGTGTGGCTACCGCCCTCGTCCTGATGCCTCTTCAACGGACCAGGAGCCACACGTGTGGGATTTCTTCCCTGGGCGCCCGATAGCAGCAAAGCCCTGATGAGGGGAAAGTGCTTTCCTTCTTGTGGTCCCTTTAGTCCCATGTGCTCTCCTACCCGGCATCCCTCACCCCTGCATTTACCTACCAGGGAGGCAGTTACAGAGGCAGAGCTTCCTAGACCCCCTCCTGAACCAATTAGGAGGATCCGCTCCTACCAGAATGTGTTTTGTCTTCCTTTGGGGAAAGAGGGAGACACTGGAAAGTTTAATTGGTACCAAAAGCCGGTTCCCAGAGTTGTGTGCTGGCTGCAGCCCTGGGGACGGGGGACTGGCTCTTGGGTGGGTGTGGCCTGACTCAGTCAGGTCCCCTGTGGGCCCCTCGGGCTCTCTGGGCCTTCCAAGCCTTCTCTGGTGCAGAAGGCAGGGGTCCCATGCTGGGGTGTTGGCGTGACCGGCCACTCTTGGGGGCCCACACCACAGTCCCTGTGTCCACACCCAGGACATCCCCACGGGCGCTGACAGCTGCGTGACAAGCCTGTCCTGTGACTCCCACCGCTCTCTCATCGTGGCTGGCCTCGGCGATGGCTCCATCCGCGTCTATGACCGGAGGATGGCACTCAGCGAATGGTAATCTGCCCCCCACCCCACCCCAGCACCCTCCAGACAAGGTACTCCTGTTGCTGCCAGGTCTCTGGGCCCAGACAGAGTGAGCCTCCCACAGCCCACTGGGCACCACCCCCCACCAAGGCCACATTTCCATGGGACATGGAGGGGAAAAACCAGCAGGGCAGGGGGCCTGGCAAGATACCGCCCTCCCTGAGCTCAGTTTCCCTCCTGTGCATGGTAGACGGCCAAGAAGACAGTGTCAGGGAGTCCCCGCGTGGGCCCTGTGCTGTGCTGAGCGACATGCATGTTGTGGCTGTTCCGGGCTCTGGGGGCAAGTCCTAGGCCAGGGGCCAGGTGGAGCCAGGCACTGGGGGGCAAGTGCTGTTACCTGTGGGCAGGTGAGGTGCTTGGGTTCAGCCGGTGGTCACTCACCCGGGCCCCACGGCTGATAAATGATAGTGTCGTCTCTGGCCACGGCCTGGCCAGGCCTGGCCTTCAGGGGTGAGGAAGGGGCAAGTGGGCAGGTGCCAGACGTGGAGCTGAAGGAAGCCTGTGGGACAAACTGCTGGGCAGGCTATTTGCTGCTGAGGCCCAGGTGCTGGGCCCGACGTCCAGCGGGTCTCCCAGGACAGACCCGAGGCTGGACTGGTGCCGGCTGGGCCGTACACGCCCTGCAGGTTCTCTGCAGAAAGGTCCCCACAGAGAACAGGCAGCACCCCCAGAAAGCTGCCATCGTGTGCGGGGAGGGGGGTTTCCTTCTGGGCTGGCCGTGAGCACACGGAAACCCGCTCGTGGTGCGCTTTGAAAGGGTGAGTTTTCTCTCCATCAAGACGTTGTCTTGACTACCCTGAGCAGGCAGTGAAGTCCCAGATTGCCCAGAAAGAGCTGAGGGTCATGGAGTGGCCCTGAGGGTACGGCTGGGTCCCCTGGTGCTGAGGGCAGCGACACGGGCACCCGCGCACCCCAGCTATGACTCGTGGCATGCCGTGTGCGGCACGTCCTCCGCGCCAGGGGCCTCTACTTCAGCTGGGGTTGGGGTTCTCACTCCTGACCCTTAGTGTTGTGGGCTGGGAGCTGCACGGTGCAAGGCCCTGTCCAGGGGCTCTGGGGCGGCTCTGCTGTGCTCCCGACATGACGGCGAAGGGTGGGTGGAGGCCACTGGCCCCCCCAAGGGAGCAGACCCTGAGGGCTTTACATAAACACTCAAAATGAAGTCACACCCTCAGCTTCTTAGCTCCTGTCCGGTGCTGTGTGTGCCAGCGGCCGGCCTGCTGTCCCCCACCCCCGCCCAGGCAGCCTGCTGTCTGCCTCCCCTGCAGCTGGCCGGCCCGCTGTCCCGTCCCCTTCAGCTGGCCAGCCCATTGTCCCCTCCCCCGCCCAGGCCGCTGTCCAGGCTCTGACCCCGTCCTTCCCCCCCACCCCTGCAGCCGCGTCATGACATACCGGGAGCACACGGCCTGGGTGGTGAAAGCCTACCTCCAGAAGCACCCCGAGGGCCACATCATGAGTGTGAGGTAATGAGCACAGAATATTTATGAGACATTTTGCTGTAAAAACATTATTTTCTCCTCCATTTAAAATACGTTTTGGTATTTAAACAGCCGGGAAAGGATGGCATTTCTGGGCAGTAATTAACCTGCGCTTGGGGACTGGCCAGAAAGGTCAGGGCCTGTGGAAGGGCAGGGACACGTCGGTCCCCCCGTTGGAGAGCCACGCAGCAGCGGCAGACAGCTGGCTCAGCGGCGGCTGCAGGGTGTGCGCGGGAGGGGGCGGGCGTCTTCCGGCCCTTTCCTGTGGGACCACTGCGTGGGGCGGTCGTCTGCCGTAAATCCATTTCTCCCGCTTACTTGCTTACGTGCCCGTTAAAGGGACAGCCGATGTTAGTGACCGTCACAGAGCCACCGTTTCTTCAGAGATGCTCTGTCCCTTGTTTGTAGCACAAAAACAGGACATAGCTCTTAGAACAACACCCGCCGGGGACCAAGGGCACGAAAGATGGCCTCCAGGGGCGACTCGCAGCCTCCCGGCCTCCCGCCCACCCGCCCCCCTCCCATCCTGTAACTGCAGCCCAGCTGCACAGAATCCCATCCCCAGGGCTGCAGATGAAACCAGTAACTCACGTCCCCCCCACCGCCCCCGGGGTCTCTGCTTGCTGCCGCCTTGCGCCATGGAGGCAGGGCCTTTCCTGGCTCTGGGGAGGAGGCCGGGGGGCTCGGTGGCAGGCCTGGTCGCTGCGGCCGGTGGGGCGGGCTCCTGCTGTGCTCAGCCGCCTCGCTGGTCACTCGGGGGCCGGCCTTGGCCTTGAGGAGTGCATGCGCACCTGGGCCCCTGACCTCGTGAGGCCAGCCCTCAGGGGCCGGCCTGCCCCAGCCTCGCCAGCAGCACTCCTTTCCCGGCAGCGTCAACGGGGACGTACGCTTCTTCGACCCTCGGATGCCCGAGTCTGTGAATGTCCTTCAGATCGTGAAGGGGCTCACGGCCCTCGACATCCACCCCCAAGCAAACCTGATCGCCTGGTAGGTGCCGCCCCTAAGAGAAAATGAGGGGCCTTTGCTGCCCCGACCATCTCAGAGCACCCGAAGTCAGCCCCGGGTGTCCACGTAACCGCAGGCAATACCCCTGGCCTGGGAGCGGGAACTCTCCGGAGCCACGTCGCTGTGGGATGGCGGGTGGGTGATAGGCGGGCAGGTCAGCCCCGTGTCCGGGACGGTGCCCCGGTGAGAGGACGCGCCTGCTTCCCCCCTGCGCTGAGCTGCCCCCACCACCCCCCCCATGCTTCATCCCTGGGCCGGCGGCCGGCTCACCCCCAACCCCCTGTGCGCAGCGGCTCCATGAACCAGTTCACGGCGGTCTACAGCGGGAGCGGGGAGCTGGTCAGCCACATCAAGTACTACGACGGCTTCATGGGCCAGCGCGTCGGCGCCATCAGCTGTCTGGCCTTCCACCCGCACTGGGTCTGTGCCTGCCCGCGCCCGGGCAGAGGGGCGGCAGGGGGGTGCGGGGGGCTCGGGAGGGCTCGGTGGGGGCACAGGAGCTGCGGGCAGGGGGGCTACAGCCAGCCCCCGCCCACCCCACAGGCGGCGGGCAGGGCGCCCTAGGTTTCTCCCTCCCCGTGTCCAAGAACTGCCCGAAACAAGATCATGTCAGGTCCTTGGCCACCCCAAGCCGCCTCCAGGAACAGCGCCAGATGCCCCGTCAGCCAGGGAGTCCTGGGCCGCGCAGACAGGAGACAGCCCCCCTTCTCCTGTCACCCTCCACCTCTGCCCTGATCCCAGCCCTGGAAAAGCCGAGCAGGGAGGAGGCTGCCAGGACACCCTTGCCCGGCCTGTGCTCCCCAGGGAGGGGTGGCCCAGCCCTCACAGTCACTCCCCAAGTGTCTGGGCTCCACCAGAGGCCCCCATGCAGCCCGGGGCTCCCAGACGAATCCCTGCAGGGAGCTGTGGGGAGCCCCCATGTCCTTGTGGTGAGGTGCGGGGCCTCTGCTGAGAGCCACGGCAGGGTGGGGGCGGGGAAGCCCCATGGCGGCCTCCCCACCTCCCACCCCCACCCACCTGCTCACCCTCCCTGATCTCCTCTGCAGCCTCACCTGGCCGTGGGCAGCAATGACTACTACATCTCCGTGTACTCGGTGGAGAAGCGCGTCAGATAGCGGGTGCCCGCCCCGCCAGGCCTCCGTGTACATAGTGGACCCGCCGCGCCGCCCTGAACACTGGTCCTGACCTGCTGCTGAGGGCTCCAGGAGGCCCCTCACTGTCTGTCCGTCCGTCTGTGGTCACTGTCACGCCCAGGAGCCCAGGGAAGGGGCCTCTGGTGGAGTCCTGCCGTGTGACAGCCCAAGGATGGTCACAGACATCCCAGCACCCTTTCCGTCCTGTTTTGCTTCTGAGATTTTTAAAGAGGGAGACACACTCGTTCTATTTTGCGAGGGACCCGAGCATTGGCTCCACAAAAACTCCGAGACAGAAGCCAGCTCCCCAGGGCTTGGCCACCCTGGCAGACGGGGGAGCGCTCGCGCTCAGCATGGGTCTCTGGGCCGCTGCCTGGCCATGCGCCGGCCTGGGCCGCCTCCCCCTGGCTGCAAGCTAGCCGGAGCTGTTTTCCGCGCACGCGCTCCTGGGGGCATTTCCAAGCACCCTGGGAGGCGGGGGCATTCGAGAGACAGAGCCGGCACGCGGACGAGGAGACAGCCCAAGGCCCCTCGCCAACTGCCAGTCCTTGCCCCACTAGGGGCCTTCGTGGCCAGATGGTGTGAGGACTGGCAGTGCCCCTCCGCCACGCAGCCCACTGTCCCGGCACAGGCCCTCCTCCTCACAGACCCGCTAGCAGAAGGGGCCTGTGGCTTTGGATGGGTGAGGCAGGCCGGTGGCCATTCAGCCACCGTCTTGGGCCACTGGCCCCGCTTTTCTTGAGTGCTGCTGTTCCCCAGGCAGGTGCGGTGACAGCCACCAGGCCTGTGGCCTCCCACACGGGTGTACACGCATGTGCAGAGCCCATGGTTTGCACACCCGAGCCCACACACGAGTGCACACTTGTGCGGTCCTGAGGCCTCCCACCCGCACGGGCGTCACACACGTGCACGGTGCAAGGGCATCTGTGGGTCAGTAGTGGCCCGTCTGCGCCGCCACTCGCCGGTGTCTTGCAGTGAGTAATGCAGAGAAGGTTCCTGGTGACTGCTTTGGCGTGGGTCAGGGCGTCTGTGCCTGTCTGCACACAGGTGTGCGTGTGTCTTCACGTGTGCACGACCTGGGGCCACGGGGATGGTGCAGCCCCAGGAAGGACAACAGAGCATGTGCTAAGCAATTACAAACAGCGCTTGTAAAACAAAACCACAATGACGATATTCTGAAAAGCATTTTTTCCATTTTCCTTGGGAATCAAGATTATTGGATAGAGGAGTGAGCTGGCTTAACTAATTCTGCCACTACGAGGCCATAATCGTGGGAATGTGAGGCCCCTCGAGCCGTGGCCGGCACTGTGCTTCGGCCAGGGCCGTGTACCCGGGCACCGGGCAGCACCGGCCTTGGCGGCCTGGGGGACCCCCGTGTGCCCCAGGAGCCGGCTCCGGGCCGGGGTCCGCGTGGGCTCCCGGGCCGCCGGCACCTGGCCACCGGCTGGGTCGGGAGCAGCAGACTCCGGGCGGAGGAGCCGAGCCGGGCGGTCTGTGCGGACGCGGAACCGCCCGCCCTGGGGCCGGCAGGGGCTTCCGGGTCCGTCGCGAAAGTCCAATCATGGAGTTAACCGGGGCTCCACAGAGCACGCCCTGAAGGTTCGCTTATCTCTATTTATTTTACCAAATGAGAATTGCGGAGTGAGTGAGCGCAAACGACAGCTGTTCATGACAATAAACAAGTGCAGAGGTGACCGGCTGCGGCCTTGTGGCTTGGGGGCGGGGCCTGGGCGGGCCCTTCGTGCGCCGGGAGCTGAGCCTCTCTTCCCAGGGCCTCCAGCCCGGGTGCGCCCCCTCCTGCGGCCGACTTTAAACCACGCAACCTGCCATCTCGCAGCTGGAGGGGGCCGCGGGCGATGCGCCGGCTGCTGCCCCGGTTCCTTCCCGAGGCTCGGGGGCCAAGTCCGCCTCCCCGTCCGTCCTCCCCGCCCTCGGCCGGCGTGCCCCGCGATGACCCGGCCCCACGGCGGCCCCGGTTTGCCTCCCACGTGGGGACGTCGCCCCGACGCTCCCCGGGTCCGAGGATGCGAGTGGATACACCGCAAAGCGAGTGGGACATAGAAGGTCCCCCATCCCTCCATGGGTGTGGCTTCCTGGACGCCACTTGCAGACAGGCCCTCGTCACTCTGCGACAGGAAGTGGGGGGACAGGAATTAAGTAACCCGCCCAAAGCCACGGCCATCGGCCATCGGGTGGCGGCAGAACTGGGATCACGACTCAGGCATCCTGACCCCGAGGCCCGCTTGAAGACCTTCACTCCACGGAGGCTGCGGGGTGCTGCGTGGGGTGGGGTGCACCCCAGGTCCGCGAGTTATGCACACCAGACCCAAAGGGGGGGCGATGGGGAGGTTTAGGTGCACCGGGTGCAGTGAGAGGAGGAGCCGATGCCCCCAGGTCGCACTGCGGCCCTCACAGAAAAGGGGCCACGTGAGGCCCAGGACCCAGGGTCCCCATCCTTCCCCACTGTGGGCCTCCCTGGGAGGTGCTGGCCGGCTTCCTGGAGAAACTACGGCCCACTAAGCCCTGGTTGGTTCTGCGAGTGAGGGTTCTGGGGCTCCGTGTGGGTCCTCGTTCCAGAGGGAATGCTCACACCCCGCAGCACGGCACCTGGGCCCAGCAACCACAGGAGTGGGCTTGGGCCTCTGGACACGGTCGCGACAGCCGGCCCGTGAGCTGCAGCAAGGGGCTGGCTGGTGTGGAAGAGAGGGGCCAGGTCTTGGGAACAGCACGGTGGGTTCCCCAGATGGATGACACCCCTGTGCTGGCCTCCCGTGGCTGCCGCAGTAGACCACCACGGCCAGGCTTCCGGGACTGCAAATGCCACTGGCTCTGGAGGGGCCCAGAGGGCTCTGCATTTCCCTGCCTCCCCCGGCTTCCAGGGTCTGCCGCATCCCCAGCTCCAGAAGCTCTCACATCACATGACTCTGACGCTCTCTGCGTCCTCTTCCACTTGTAAGGACCCTAGGGGACAGTCTCCCAACGTCAGAGGCAGCTTCTTGGCCTCAGGGCCACCTACAACATTCCCTTGGCCCCTGTCCCCTGGCGTCACGGCCTCCAGACTAGGACACAGACATCCTTAGGGGCTTTAATCAGCCTACGGCTCCTGCTGTCTGCAAGCTTCGGGGCAAAGACCCCCACCAAGCAGAGCCCACAAATGCAGGAGACCCTCTGCCAAGAGGAGGTGGATGGCCACGGGAATGGGAGGGAAAGCATCTGTCCTGCCCTGGGGGGGGGGCATCAGCCCCCCCCCTGCCCCCCCCCCCCCGGGGGTGGCCGTGCCTCCGCGGGGCAGAGCCTGGAACCCGCGCATCACCTGCTGGGCTCAGCACCGCACAGGGGGAGGGTGGCCGTCGCCATGGAAACCTGGGGGTCTGAGCGCTGCGCTCCTGACCGGGGTGACATTGTTTTCTGCGAGAAGGAAACCCAGCCTTCCCACGTCCGTGCTTCCGCAGAGAAAGTGATATTTTCCCATCAACATCGGTTTTTTCGTCGCCAGGACCTGAGTGCTAACCCGGTGCCCGTAAAAATGAAAGATGGATGCGCGGCGGGACTTGGCCACCGGGGGGCGCCAGGGACCCGCCAGGCGACTCGCCTCCCCTCCCCCCGCAGGCCCGGTCCCCCTCGCCGCGGCGCCCTGGGGGAGGGGACGGGAGCTTCCTCGGGGAGTGGCGTGTCGTGGGGTCGTCCTGCTGGGCCACCTGCAGCCACCGCGCCGGGCAGCTGGGTCCGATCTGCCCGGGGCCACCTGAGGACCGTCCGCAGGCTGTCCGCGCCGGCGCTGACCGCACACACCTGCGCACGGCAGGTGCACACGCGCGCTCGCCGGTGTCGCGGCCGGGCGCCGCTTGCCCCGCGGGGACACGGCGTGCGGACGTGTGCGGGCAGCCGCGTGCGCCGGTTCCGGTCTCAGGACGAGCGGCCCTGCGGAGAGCGCGGGGGGATTCATTACAGACCGGGGCGGGGCGCCCTCGTTCCGGCGAGCAGGGACAGCCCCCGCGGACCCACTCTTCTCCGAGTTTTTAGCCGGGGCTTGACATCGGGGCTTCGCTAGGAACCGGGGCCATCAGCTCCCGGCCTGGCAGGTGGCCGGCCTCAGGGCTGAGGAGGGAGCTGGGGAGAGGGTTTCAGGTACTGCCTGGTGTCAGGCCCTCAGCTAATCCGGGAGCCTGCGGCATTCTGCCGGTCTCTCCTCTTCAAGAGAAGCCCCTTGGAAATCAATTACAGCCCCCTCTTTCCTCCCGTGAGGGGTGGGCTTCATGTCTCCAAGACAGGACCAAGGGCATGCGCCCCCCCCACCTCTCCAGCCAGAACATCCTGGGTTAGGGCTGCCCCAAGGCCCCCGCCTGCCAGGGCCCCACGACCACCCACCTGCACCAGTGAGCAGCCTGCTTGGCCACACAGCCTGGTACATGGGGAGGGGGACGGGGGTCCAGAGGCAGAGGCCCTGCAGGAGAGGGGCCCCGGGGACCATGATGGCCCATCCCCCCATCATGCATTCGGAGCCCCGCTTTCTCCTAACTGGAGGGTCCAGACCAGGCACCTCCAGTGGCCCCAGCCAGCTCAGAGGGAGCCCCAGCCATGCACAGGCAGGACCCCGGGCTCCCCAGGGAAGGGGGGGCGGAGGCCAGCAACAGCTAAAACCAAAGGAAGAGGGAACCCCACGTGGGTTTTTCTTTCTTTTTTGCTAAGTATCAGAACTTTCCTGACTGGGGGAAAAGCAAATGGCACCCCGACAAAGGAGCAGCCCGAAAAGGGCTCCACGTCATGTCGTGAAGGCAGAGCCAGCCCCGCCCACCGTGGCTGTGCGCTCCCGGGCACGAAGGCCCCGTGGCCATCCATGGCCACACTCCACGGCGATCGCAGCCAAATGAAAACCCCCGTTGCCCTTTTGCAGAAAAGAGAAGGCCAACCCTCAAATGCACATGGAAATGCAAGGGGCCCTGAAAAGAGCCAGAAAAAACCTGAAGTATTGGTAGTTCCCTGTTTCAAAACTCACTACAAAGCTACGGTGATCCAAAGGGGGTGCCGAGGTCTTCACACGCCGTCGCACAGGGTCGGCTGGTCACCACAGCCGAGGGGGGACACAGCCCAGGCGTCCACTGATGTCCAAATAAACAAAATGTGGTCTCTCTGCACTGGGGCATTTATGTCCAAGTTCTGAAAAGCCAGTGCCGACACCTGCCACAGTGTGGCCAGACGGGGAGAGGACCGACACCGAAGGCCACGTGTCGTGTGCTGGTTCTTTCATGAAAGATCTGGAGTCGGAAATCCACAGAAACAGAAGGACTGGGGCCACCAGGGGCGGGGGGAGGGGCGGGGAGTGACTGCTTAACAGGCACGGATGCTTTCCTGGGTGAGGAGAAGGTGCTAGAATGCACAGAGGTAGTGGTCACACGGCGTTGTGAAGGCACCAGATGACTGAATTGTTGACTTTCAGATGAGCTGTGTGTGACGTGACCGTCCCCTCAATGAACAAAATGCCCAGAGGCGAGAGAGCGTGGCTCCCGAAGGGCCTGTGGGCCGGGCTGGGTTTGAATCCAGGCTGCGCCTGCGGGAAACAGGCGCTCCTCTGACTGCGTGCGTCCCAAGGGAGGGCGAGGCTGCAGGGACACGCAGGGCCTGTGACGCCGGCACCTGGGGACACGCAGGCGCTGGAGGGGCCGCGAAGCCTGCAGCCCCCGCACCAGGCCCGCAGACGGCCAGCTCTAGAGGAAGCGGTTTGGGGACCGGGCAGCCCCGTGGGACCCCTGCCCCTGCTTCGAGGCCAGCTGGGGACGGGCCCCAAGAGCCCTGGGGGGCAGCAGAGCTGCTTCTGAGCACCCAGTGCAGGGGCGGGTCGTGGAGAGCACCTGCTGTCCCCGGTGCGTCACAAGAGCCCTGCTCGGCCACTCACCACAGGTCCACGGGCGCCCTGGGTGTGAGGATGCCCAGCGGCCACATGCGAGTGGCTGGCTCCGAGCTCCCTCTGCGGGGCTGCCGTCCAGCTGGCGGCCGGGACAAGGCCCCCGTGCTTCTATGGCCCAGTCTCAGAAGGACCGGGCACTCCGT